TCCGTTAATTTAAGGGTCAGGACGTGGATGAAGGCATGCAAAAGCCTCTTATTCTTGTGATTGGTTCCGTGATGCTTGTTAAGCCTCGACACGTGGGCTTGTTCATGCGTACTAAGTTCAAATGTCACAGTCGCAAAGAGTAGAAAATGCCGATTTGATTTTGTTTTGAAAACTTGTACATTTTTTTTGCTTAGTTCAGTAAATGTTACTTTTCAACTTAGTCACATAAAGAGTGACCTTAAAGTTTACAGTTTTGTTTTTGTGTAACAATGATGTGGCAGATAGAAAAATAACATCAACCTCGAACTACATACATACATACGGTCGCCAAAAGAAAATACGACAATCAGAATTTAACCGCAGTTGAGTTTTCCAATAAACGTAGAAAACTTTTAAATCATTAATTACAATGTGTGAAACGTGTTTTAGCCTGGGAACCAAGAAAAACAATGCAACTAATTCGTGGCTTACATCCTTCTCTGTATGTTGTATTTTTATTGCTATTCATAAATAAGGTCAACTCACTGGCTTTCCTTGCTCCTGACTTTATATATTCACATTGAAAATGATACATTTCCATGTTTCAGCTATTTTTATGAATATTTTTTGAAATGCTGCAACAATGCTCTATGGCCTTTTCAGTTCGCATCCACATTTGCCAGCAAAGTCTCAACCACAGAAAATGTTGTTGTTGCCGTCAACAGCTATCTGAAAGTGAAAAGCCGCCAAAATGCAAGCATGTCCCTCTCTCTCTCTCCCTCGCTCGCTCTCTGTCTCTCTGATGTTGTGGCAAGCTGTGTGTCTGTGGGTTATGTAAACGAAATTCAAATTGTATGTAAAAAAAAGAAGAACAGCTATTCACAAATTTGTAGCGCGTATTTGAGGCCACTTTAGCTGGAAAATGCAAATAATCATATTGCTGCAATTTAAAATGTAAATGTTTGAGGCCAAGGAGATGGACAATTTACAGCTGGTCAGTCTCCTATATACATACACATTCTTGTTCGTGTGGCACATGCGTGAGGCATGTTGTGTTGCATGCCGCTTCGTCATAATCAACTGAAAGAAGAACAAATTTGTGGGTAGATGAATAATTGAACTGCTGCTTTCGCTCTGTTGCCTGATTGCTGGATACAGTTCGCTACGCTCACAAGGTCACAGGGCATACACATACACACACACACACACACACAACACACACAGACACACTCGTTGTGGCACACATACATGACGGTTGTGTTTTTCATGTTGGGTAGTTTCCTGTTTCCATTTCTATTTGATTTATCAAATGGTCGCTATAAAAACAAAAATTCTTTTTACTTTGCTCGTTGGTTTCTACCACGCCTGCTTGGTCCGCTGACCGCTGCGGCTGTATCTTTTGCATATTTTGAGGCACCCAATTAGTTTCGTTTCGTTGGCATTCGATTCGTTTGTGCTTTCGATTCGATTTGGTGTTTCGGTAAGCAAAAATGTTCGGTTGACTTCACTCGCCCTTCAGCTCCGTCCACCAATCAGAGCAGATTTTCTTCCGCCCATTGTCTTTGGCACATTTAGCAGTCGATTAATTTGCATCTGACTGAAGATCTTAGCAATATTTATGGGTCCACGTCCTTGCCACTGTAAACCTTAATACATCTCTGATAAATGACCCAAACTCGAATGTTGCAAGCTAACAACTTATTTAGCATTTTGTTACTTTGCTAAAGCGCAGTTTCGTTAATGTAAAAATTTGGTTAAAACTCCTTTTGCCTGCATAAATAAAAATTAATTAAAAGCAGACTATAGAAGCGAAAAGTATTTAAGACCCATTCACAGAATTCAGCACAAAGAAAAGTAATTAATGCCCAATACCAACCCAGTAGCAGTACTCCTTCCAACCAAACCCACAACCACAAGCATCTAAATTGCTGTGTGTGTGTGTGTGTGTGTGTGTGTTTGCGTGCTTATGTGAGGGTGTAAGTGAAGCGTCTGGTATCCAAAGCAAATACTAGCCGCCGCCGCCTGGCTTCGCCCAATGCTCAGCTGTAAATAAACACTGGCGAATTCAAATAAGCAAGAATAAGTACGAATAAATAACTTATAAGCCAACAAAAAAAAAAAAAAGAATATCCAACACTTGTGACGCAGGTAGCCAGCCAGCGAATCATTCTCCATTGCACCTCAACAATGGCCCGTCCCAAATGAAATGAATCACATCCCGTCACAATATGAATGGAGCGCCGTGTGAACGACCTGCTGACCCACCAGCCCCATAAAAAACCCAAAAAGAAAAACCCCGAACACTGGGCTAAAATATCCCAACAATCAACAAAATGTCAAATATCAAATACAATTATGTCCGAAGGCATGTATTCAACTGAAAAGTAAGCAAATAGCGACACATTCATATATAATTTGAATATCAGACACTTGAGCTCCACATCTCAACCAACATATATATATATATGTGAAGTCTGTGTCATTGTTATGGTTATGTAAAATTGTATTCATAACAGTTACCACATCACATATATCTAATGTGTTTTGTATAGAAATTAAATAAACAAGAAGAAAAAAAAAATACTTTCATATTTTCTCTTATGCCATAAATTGCTAGTTATGGCTTCCAGTGCACATTGCTTTTTTATATGTGAAAATGAAAGTTTCAGATCTGCGCCATTGTACATTGACTTTCTCGTATACATAGAATGAATGAATCCCAAAAGCAAACAAGCTCAGCCAAATCCCAGATACTTTAACAACAAATAAAAGTCGAAGGAAGGCCAAAAAGAAAAAAAAATAACAAAACGAAACGAAAGCGTAAAACGCACTCGCGAGTCGGGCAAATAAACCTGGACTATAGTCCAAGGGACTGGGGTCTGACACTGCGAGGGGACTGGGGAGTGGGACTGGGATGTGCCACTCGTCTTAGATGGCTAGCGGCTGTGGTTGGAAATGTTCTTACCTTAAGCAGTGATGTATTGTGAATGTGTACGGTAGAAGGGCAACCAATCTCAATCGACTTCATACATATTCCATTCCACTGACTCCACCAGCTTCAGCGGTCGTCCTGAAGCCACCGGGCACTTGAGAGGCAGCTGCAGCTTTTATGTGTATTCTCGCTGTTGTTGTTGCTGTATTGTTGTGAAGTATTGTCAATGTGGTTGACAAAAGCACTTGGCAAGCACCAGCACACCATCGCATGACATATTTCAAGATTTTCATGCTTTTCTTTTTTTTTGTTGTGTCGCTCTCTTTCTCTCTCTCTCTCGTTATTGATTTAAAGTTCACTTCAGCTGTGGAAATGGAAAATGAAAAGCGTGCTCGCGCTTTGTGTGTAAGTGTCGCTGTGTGCGTGTTGGCACGAAATTCATTTAACTAAAGGTAGCACACACAAAGCACATAGCGCAGTCCCATCGGCCTTATATTTTGTTAGCTAAGTTACGCCCTCACACACATAGACTCACGCACACCCTCAAACTTTTACCTATCAGCTGTCTGTTAAACTTAAGGGCCTTTCTTGAGTCGAAGACACAAATGTTTGCTCAACCGGAAGCGAATCAAAGATAGCCCACACACTCATATCTGTAAACAGCTACATTTTGCCAACAGCAATTGGTTATTTATCTATTCACATTTTGTTGGCTTACTTGCCGCTGAGCCATCTGACTTCCATCTGAAGTTTATCTTTTCCAATGCATTGAAATTATTTTCAAAAAATATTGATTATCGATCACGTCAAAGTGTGTGTCACATTTGAATTTTTTTTAAATTAAGTCTTAAGATATTCCACAAATGTGAATTTGCATATAAAGCTTTAGGTGTCGGTATTAATTCATTTAGCCTCGAATTGCCTGATATATTTAATGGGAATGTAAATTACGCAACTAAGAATATTATTTACAATTACGAGCGAAAATAGTTTTTGCTCGTGAAAATTAATAAAGTTTTGGCGAGTTATGCCTGCGGAAACCCTGAAAGTGCTCATGAATTTTTATGGTTATGGCAATGCTTATTCCTACTAAAATTGGAAAGGTTGAGGCATTTTTGTAAACCTTTAAAGTATAGTTCTTGAAATTAAACGAGTATTGAAATGTTGTTGGTTAGTTTTTATAATTTGTGGTTCAATTTAAGCTAAAAAAGATATTACATGCAATCGTAAGATGCATTTGCTTCTGCCAAAATTACATGTTCATTTCCCTGGGCTATACAACTTTTGCCGATTCTCTATTCGGAACACTTGTAGTCATACTAAAGTTAATTTGTTTCGAATCCACAGTGCGTCTATAGAATTTGTCAACTCAGCTTGATAACAAGTCATTCGAGAGCTGCAGCTAAGCAAATTGCAAAAGTTTGAGTACGAAGATTATTTCAAAGTTGACATTCGCTAATGATAAGGATAAAATATTGACAGGCAACAGCTGTCGGTAAGCGGAAGCAAGTGAGATTTCTGTCTCGTTCGACTGGCGCCAAGGAAAATGTCGCTTCCAGCAGACGTACTGGCGCTATTTATGGCAAATTAAGCCAATTGAGTTGAGTTGAGATTACTTTAGGTACTCGGCCACGCCTTCGCAAAACCTGAGATCCATGCGTAGGTAGCAATTTAATTCGCAATTCTCAGCAAAAAGCTCAGCCAAAGCTTTATTAATGTTGTTGTTGATGTGGTCGTTGTGGTTGTTGTTGTTATTGTTGTTGTTGTTGCTGTTGTGTGGGAATATGGTAACCAAGTGCCTGAGGTTATACAATTTAGACAATGCCATCAAAGGCACACGGAAGGTGTTTATGGGGCTGATTTACATTTGCATGTTCTACAAATTGTGGGCGACAACTGTGTATTGCTTATAGCTCAGTTGGCTAGGTTGCCTCGAAGGTAGATGGAAGATAAATCGGTAGCACGTCTTGCTTCATTAAACTGGCCCAACAAATGCTAAATTGATACAAATCGAATGAAGATAAGCTAAATATAAATATAAATGATATATGAGCACTAATAAATCGTTTTGATATATTTTCAATTGCAGACTTGTCAAGCAATAAAAGCAGTCAACAGCAAAAGCAACAACGCCAAATGACAGTTACAATCAGCATGTCGTGTATAGCGTGTGCCTCCATCTACGAGAATGTTACCACTACAGGGCAACAACAGCAACAACAACAACTAGTAAGCAGTGAGTGGCAAGGCAATAATTGCATGGGACTCAAGGACTAACTGCCTCAACCACCTCAACACCAACGATACGACAACACAGTAACAATAATAATTGTTTAATACAATGACACTGCTACGCAAGCTAACGGCAACAGCAACATCGGCGGCGAGGACACTGCTCGAGGATGGCGACGGAGCTGGTGCGAAGTCACAGCCCGTCTATATACCACTGCTGCTGGAGGCATCCGCTTCGGTGTCGGCATCTGCGGCAGCGGTCGCTGCAACTTCACATGCGAGTTACTTGAATTTCGTTGCCGATGGCCTCATCGATGTGGAGGAGAGCGTTGGCAGTGGCGGCAGCAGCTCAATACCTCTGGACGACATGGGCGGCGGACAGGCGCTGGACAATGGCAGCAGTGCCGCGGCCGCCACTGACGAGACAGCGGGCAGTGCGCATTTGACATTTGTCATCGTCAAGTGTTTCATTATTGGTTTCATCATACTGGCCGCCATACTCGGCAATATGCTGGTGATTGTGTCCGTTATGCGACACCGGAAATTACGGTGAGTGAATCAACAGCAACAACACCAACATCAGCAGCAACGACCAACAGTTCTCCCATTACTCCCATTAATCTATTTGTGCGGTTGTTGTTGTTTTTTTTTTTTTTATTACTGAATTGTTAGCCACAATGCGCCTTTGTCATCAGAGTTGCCAGCAAGGACACAGCCAGGACCTTTGTGTCTGTGGAACAATTGGAGTTTTTTGGACGCGGTCGCGTTAATCCTGTGCGCCTTTACGCCCATTAGTTTGAGATCATTTATCATACTTTGGCTAACTTGCGTGTCTCGCCCATTTACAATATTATTACCTTGGGTGGTGGTATCTGCCTAATAACTTGACCCCCCATCATTGGCATACTTATGTGTGGCACTGTTAAATGTCAGAAACGTGCGTAATTACATCGAATATGTTAATAGGAAGCGTACATTAAAATATTGTGGCCTTCTTCAAGAGCGGCGAGCCAGCCGCTGTTTGCACTCAGAAAAAAATCATGCTGTAAACCACACATAAAATTTACATTTTCGAAATACGTGTCTTAAATCTCATTTATTGATACATATTTCTGAAATGTAAACAAAAATATTCTAAATTCAGAATAAAAGCCTGTGCTGCAATTAATAAGTAAGACACTTGCTAACTATAGTTTTCCTTACACAAAAATATAAAACAAAATTATTAAAGAATGATAAATATATTTAAAATCTTATTAGATATTTTTGGCAAACCTTTCTGAAATTCCGAATATTTTCATAGAATTATAATTTTAAAATTATAAACACGATTTCTAAGAAATAATTTAGTAAAGCTGTCCAACCGATTTACTATAATTCTAGTGCAATACTTTTTCTGAGTGTACTTGTCATTTTGTTTACGACAGTCCACATGAATTTTATAGAAACCCACACCCACACACACACACACATATACACTTACACACATACACACCCAAAACCACACTGACACACGATTACAGCTGTTGTGGTAGGTGACACCGTGTTTGCCCGGGGTTAGCTGTAGCTCTTCATAATTTCGTACGTGTTTCAGGTGAAAATTTATGTGCTATATTTTGTTGCTGGCATTTAAGCAACATAAAGCACATACACGTAGACGACCGACAACGCGGTCACGCCCATGTGAGAGGCCTAAGGCGTCCAATGTCAAGGCATAAAACTCTTTAAGCAGGCGAAGAAAGTCTTCACCTTGGCGACAACGGCAGCAGAGAGTGCAGCACTGAAGCAGACAAGCATCTGACATTTGTGAGGCTCATTTAACTTGAGCAACTGTGCCGTGTAGAATAAAATGGAATGCAAAGGGTACTATGGTTTATATTTAGGTACATACCATTTTTATCTGGCTGCTGTTCTCTGCTTGTATTTGCCCACTTCAAATGTTTTGCTTCGCTGCGCAGTTTTAAATCATTATGCCAAATTAAGCCTAATTATGCTCAACATGCATTCGTACTTAAGCCTCTTCCCTGTGTGTTCCCTTTGCGCCGGAGTGCGTCCCGTGCCAAATCACAGGTGTGCTGTCAAAACCAACCTCACAAAAGCCAAATAGTCGTACGATAATTTGGGCCTCATTTAGCCCAGCAACTTTGTAAACGTTAAGAACTCTTTTACCACCTAAACTATTCTCAGTCAGTTGGCCAATTTTGCGTGTGCGACTCTTTGCTGCCTTAATATCCGGCCAACTAATTGAACCAACTTTCGTCCAGCCCATTAGGGTGCAATTTAGTAAAAGTAGCCGTGTTTCAGCTTGTCGTAATAAGGCTATACAAATTATATGGGCTGCAAAGATTAAATTGTCCAAAACATATGATTATACTAATCAGAAACAAGTAGTTCGTAAAAATCTCTAAAGCTGTTATTCTTATAGAAGTGGTTCATAAATGCTTCACTTGTATATTTACAAACCTTTTTGTAATGTTTTTATAAATTCCAATTCCTTTTTACTTTCCCAACAGGTTATGTAGTTAATAACTTTTACAAATATTATTTTACTGGACGATAATATTGCAGCGAAACTCAATTTAACATGAACTTTGATAAAACTTTGAGAGAGTCTGACTCCAATTTGTAGAGCATCCCTAGAAAACGTATCGGAATTTAATCATTTTTAGTTATTTGCTGCCACGCGCCGATTGCTGTTAAGGCAAAAAAAAAAAACAAAAATACCATCAAAAGAGTTTACTTTACTTCTTCTGAAACGCACCAATGTGGAATGGTAAAAGTGACAAGTCATAAATCTAATTAAACTTGCCACCTATCAGCATTGATGTTGTCTGTACAACTCTTCTGCTGGCATAGCTTTTTATCCTTTAATCGGCTTTAAAGCATCGCCTTCCTACTACTTACATTCTGATGTTGACGTGGGTATTTTGTGCTCTGGGCCTTGTACATTTTTGCTGTAGTTTAAGCTCACCATCAACAACTGTCCGCTTGTTGCTATTCTGCCGTCTGCCGCCTGCCGCTTGTCGTCTGGCTTCTGCTTTTAGCCTGCTGTTTTCTGTCATCTGCGGCTGGTTCCTGTGGGTTGTAATTAAGTTTATGAGCGGTTTGGGGCATTTTCGGGGGCAGGCTTTGGTTCAGTGGCCTACTGTAAAGTGGAATATGAAAATGTAATTGCCTTTTCCTTTAAATTTCGGAAATTAAAGCTGCAATCATTTTCAGCGTTGCGCATACGCCGTCTGCTCATAATTAGTTTGAACGTTGTGCGGTGATTGTTGCTATTGTGAATTGCGGTGGGTATGGTGCTATATGAGTAAGTTGACAGCATTCCACCAATGTTAAACAAATTATCAATTAACTCATTAAACTCGGAAATCCACTTGTCAAGCCACACGACAAACTGCTGGCTTATGCGGCTTGTGCGTAATATGAGCACAAATTGTTCGATCCAACCCAGAGGGCAGACAAGTGCTTAGTCGATTAGCTGTCACGACAGTTATATGTATTTATATTAGAGCGCATAATGACATACATTCTCGTAGCTGAGAACATCATTTGTTTAATTTTTAGTTGCCAAACTGCAACTTTATGAAGTATTTCAACGTTTCTTCTTTCCGTATTCAATTCTCATTTGTAGCATCATTACCAACTATTTTGTGGTTTCACTGGCTGTTGCCGATATGCTGGTTGCTCTCTGTGCTATGACTTTTAATGCTTCCGTCGAGATATCGGGCAGATGGATGTTTGGATCACTCATGTGCGATATATGGAACAGTTTTGATGTATACTTCTCCACGGCCAGCATTATGCATCTATGTTGCATATCGGTAGACAGGTAAGTATCAACTAACAACAATTACAATCTATACATGCCAATGATTCGGCATTTTCAGATACTATGCTATAGTGCAGCCACTGGACTATCCGCTTATAATGACGTATCGACGCGTCTTTATAATGCTGCTGTTGGTCTGGCTCTCGCCGGCTTTACTATCGTTTCTGCCCATCTGCTCGGGCTGGTATACCACGAACGAGAACTGGAAGTATCTGAAATCCAATCCACATGTAAGTTGACCAACAATGTTTTTTAGCATTTTAAATCAATTTCCTATCGGATCAGAGCTCAAAATTCAACAACACACACTTACAGCTATGAGGCTGTGTGTGGGTGTGTGCGAATACATTCGCTAGAATTTGTACGGTAGACATGCATTTTTCTGGCTCCTGCCACGTATGGGCCACAAGGTGTGCCATAAATTCTGCCAGCGCTTGCTATAGTTGGGGGTACTTCCGCTCTGCTTCAGACTAGAGATGTGTACGGGTCGCCTCTGACAACAAGACTTGACGTGGCACGAAACAGAAACCACAAATTGCAAATACACACGCAAAACTTTGCCTGTGGAAATATTTATTTGATTCAAACGAAACAAAAAAAAAAAACAAACCTTATAACAAAAAACTAATGAGCTGAAGGTCAAAAAGGCAATGACCTATTTAGGTAATTTCCAATTAAGAACGCATATAACTCAACTTCACACCAATTTATTGAACTAATCAAGGAACTATTATACCTGTCAAAATCTATATTGATATTGAGAAATTTAACGTAACTTAACTTGTGAGGAAAATACATAAATAAACATTAAGACGATGGACTGAAGAGAAATAACTCAATTATGACCAGTAAAAATTATATTTCAAGCACATTAAATTAAATGTATTTTGAAACGATTTTAGCAAGCAATATTTATGGAGAAGATCAGACTTAGATTAGTCACCTGTCTCTTGACAGGACACTGTAGATTTTGAGTTGATATAGGTATTCGTGTCACAAAAAAGTAAACACGAGGAAACACGAGCTGCACTCTACCTCAGTCTCGGATACGGATACGGTTCAAAGAAAATTGATTTATGTGTATGCCATGGGCGTCTGCAACATTTTTACGCCTTTTTAGACGCTCAGTCGACAGTTGGCATATTTATTACTTTGACTGCTTTATTGGCCATTTTCGACAAGAACACGTCCTGGACGAGGCAACATACATATTTGTTAAGTTGTCAGGCAGTGATAGCAATGAAAGTGGTTTAATACCGGCTGATGTTGCTCACAGCTCACTGCTGCTGCCTAACAACTGTTGCCAGCAGCAGTCAGTGTTGTTCTTGCTGTTGCCTCTCCTGCGCAATACAAATGCTGATGTATAAATAAATGTAATTATATTTGCGTTTGTGGTTTGTGTCTGTGTCCGCGTCTGTGTCAGTGCCGCCTGTGCATAATTCTCGACATCACACAAAGCGCCGACTCATTGAAAGCCCTTTGCATACATTAGCATTCAAGTTGTGCTATAATTAGTTTAACTTGCTTGTTGTCCTGGTGTTTGGTGCTTCGTGTTGTGGCTGGCTGTTAATAATTGACAGCGACTCTTGGCATAAATCTGATTATATGGCCACGAGCCTCTAGCCCCAAGACTTAAGTATCCTTCTGTTGTTCTATTGTCATTTCATCAGCTTAATGTATGCTGTAATTGGGTTGTGTTTTTATTGCTTTCACTTGCAATGCATCAATCACATTACGCATACGCTACGTTGCACCGGCAATTACAACAATTTGCCCATGCAAATCAATTCGCTGATTGTCCATTGTGATGCAAGTTATTTGTGTGAATTTCATATACTATTACGTATGGCTGGCATCGAATGGTGCCTCTTTATTCTATTGGCAAGTTTATTGTTTTATTGATCATTTAAAGAGCTTGGTGGTGCATTTACTGTGATTTATGATAGCCATCCAGCCAATGCGTAATTTAATCAAATTGCATTGCAGATATGCGAATTTAAAGTGAACAAAGCCTACGCGATTGTTAGCTCATCGATGAGCTTTTGGATACCGGGAATTGTGATGCTGTCCATGTACTATCGCATTTACCAGGAGGCGGACCGTCAGGAGCGTTTGGTCTACAGGTAAACCAATTAATTTGTTTTGCCGCAATTAACGCTAATTACTCTCTCAACGCAGATCTAAAGTGGCAGCCCTGCTGCTGGAGAAACACCTACAGATTAGCCAAATACCCAAGCCCCGGCCAAGCATACAGGTGGAGCAGTCAACTATAACGACCATGAGGCGCGAGCGGAAGGCAGCCCGCACATTGGGCATCATAATGAGCGCCTTTCTGCTCTGCTGGCTGCCCTTCTTCTTATGGTGCGTAGAAGCAACATTTGCTGCATCAAATTTGTTTCCAATTAATTTATACTTTGATATGGTATCCTTTTTAAGATTATAGTATTTTTTGTTATTTTATATTTCTGTATTATTAAAGCCATTGTTGTGCAACTACAAGATTGTGTACTTGGCCAACATATTAAATTATTTTCAGTTCTTTGCCAACAATTATTATATTATATAAATTCATATGAGCCCTCTTCAAGCTCTTGCTTTAGTCAGGCTTCTTCGTTGCTCTATTTAGATGGCTTTCCAGTCTCTTAATAAAGTTGATAAACTCTTTGGTTCTCCATTGCGCCTTGAGTTATTCAAAATTCTTCTTTTCTTTGCGTAATTAGTATGTTGAGGCAAAGTTTTAAATTGAAAGTTCTTTGCTTTTATGAAATGAGATCACAGCTATTAATATTTAACTCGAACGTAACTAGTCATAATACTTAGACAATCTCAGTGAGTAATTATTAAGTTAACAAACAGGTGAAAGAGCAAGTTCAATGATTACTTTAAGGAAAATATTAGATTTGGTAGTATGTACCAATTCAAGTAATTCACTTCTATAAGTTTATTAAATATTATTATTATTTTGTGGTTTTATTTGAGATGCACAAATTTGGATTGCTTGATATCGAATGTGTATATATATTTATATATAATTCATTTTGAATTAGGTACATCACATTTACATTATGTGATAGCTGCAAAACACCTCGTATCGTTGTTGGCATATTGTTCTGGATTGGTTACTTTAACTCGGCACTGAATCCAATTATTTATGCATATTTCAATCGAGATTTCAGGGCCGCTTTCAAGAAGACGCTCAAGGTGAGTTTCATGTGGGAGCTATTAGGTTTTTTTTTATGTATGGGGCGGGACATTTTCCTTTTCTGTTCTTGCATTATGCAAATTGCCAAGGAAGACCTTTTAACAGTACATATTGCTTTTGAAATCGATTCAAAAAAAAAAACAACAATTTACATATATATATATATATATCAATCGCAAATGGCGTTTGATGCTCGCCTAGACTTAGTACAAATGCCGCTGATGCAACAACGGAAAGCACAAGTACAACAACGGCAACAGCAACAATATCAACATCGGCAACTGCAACAGAGCCAGCAGCACTCACAGGCAGAGCACATCTCGGTAGCTATATGAGTTTACTTGGAGCTGCATTGGCAACTAGTGCCCAATAGACTTTAGCCATAGCTTTTAAAAACGATTTCATTACACTTAAATACATATATATATATATATATTTATATATAGCTGATTGAGCCAACAGTAATAAACTATTCAGTGCAACTGCAACTGCAACTGCAACAGATTTTGCTTGTCCATGTCACGATTTTCATTTGTGCGATATTGTTAATTGCCTGTTGAATTCTATGCACGCTCTGCTTGCCTGTGCTATTCCTTTTTCTACTATATATACAACTAAACAGATAAGTATATATCTCTCTAAGCATTTCTTAGTCTTTGTTGGCAAGTCGCAACATTTCGTTAGTTGATTTTCTAACTGTCTCTATCGCTCTCGAACTCTCGCTATTTCTCTATCTCTCTAACTCTCTAACTTTTATGTCATCATCTACTCATCTTTTCCACGCACAGCTGGCTTTTGCCTTACTGATACGTTGTCTAACGTCCAAGAAATACTAAGCCCTGCCAAAGAATGCCACAAAACAAAATGTAATATTCAAATTGAAAAGCTTTTGCGTATATAAGTATGTTACACATATTATGTACATATATCCCCATACATATGAATTAGTATGTAGACAACACACATATACACCCACACACACACACACACCCACACACACGCTGACAACATACTGTCCTTATGGTAAACCAGCACCTGTTACAAAACGGTCGCCCAACAAACAACAACAAGCACTTGCAAATGCGCATATTTTGATGCCCACAGTTTGTCTGAGCGACATTTTTCTCCTTTTTATCTTTTCCTTTTTTTTTACACAAATTTCTCATTTAGCGCACTACTCTTTAACAGCACTCACATTTACACATACACACGTAGCAGGTCCCCAAATGAATGCGGACTTTTATTTTTTATTCCATTTGGAATTTCCATCTACCATTTTTATTTGTATTTTCATTTACATTTTTTTTTCCTTTCCATTTGCTTCTGTTTTTTAACTCACACAACCAAAAGTTTGCCAAAGACATGTGGCATCTATCCCACACCACACAAGCCAAGCAACTCTCACGCCCTGGGCGCATCCCGAATTCCGACTGTGTGTCTCTTTGTCTCTTTGTCTTTTTGTCTCTTATCTATTTATCTCAACGCTGTGTCTGTCCCCGACGTCGTTTAAATATGCCTAACCTTTGAGTACGTAGCAGTAAGCATTCTCTGTACGACTTCAACTCCAATTTGCACTCATTTTAACATGCCTGCTTCTTCTTCTCTCTCTCTCTCTCTTTTTGTGTATGTGTGTGTGTGTGTCTTTTGCAGAGCTGCTGTCCCTATGCGTTCATCAATTGTCGCGCCAGTTTTCGGGCGGCGGCTGGACGCGGTAACGGCCTGGGTGGCGGCCATCGGAGAGACAACGGCGCCAGGAATGGGTCTGCTGAACTGCCCAATTACGTGAACTCCACGGCCTCATCGGAGATCCACATGAATGTGATGCGTGCGCGACAGTACGTGGAGGCCACGCCCACAATGACTAACCAAGAGCAACAGCAACTGCATCCGCTGTACACCAACTAAAACGTGCAGAGTCCTTTTTTTCACTTTCAGCTCTTCATTTGCTTGCGTGTATCTGTGTGTGTACATGTGTGCAAAATAATATACATATGTACCTATACCTCCTATGCTAGCTGCCTAAATACTTGTTAGGAATACATATATGATGTATTACTAACATATATATATATGTACATATATATGTATATATATATAGCTTTATAAAGCTATATAAAGCTAGTATCTATGACCACGCTAAGCAACAGTTAAAATGGTAAAAGTATAAAAAGCCGACCACGACAATCCCACAGAAAAAAATGAAGCCTTCAAAAGAAAAAATCCTAAAATAAACAAAAAAGAATATCCGATATTGATGTGCAAAAATACATTTGAAATAGGAAGTATGAATACGTACAATAAAAATAAAAATAAAATAAAATAACAACAAAAAATATTTACAAGTTGAATTTAAAGCGAAATTGTTGGGCAAAAATATAAAAATGAAAGAGAAGAATTCCAAATTCCTAGAATTTGCCAGCAACAATTTCAAGCAACATTTGATTGGCATTTAGTGCAGAGTTTATATAAAATATACTTACCTATTTAATATATATACATAGATATATTATATTGAATGTTTGATATACGTATATAATGCTATTTGATGTCCCATAAATATAAATAATTACATACATACGGGTGAAATGTGTAAATTGAAGTTGAAACTGGGCTACTCCTGCAATGAATGTCTTCTCATAGTACCTACCACAGTAGAATTGCCCAAGTGTAGCTTAAAATGATTAAATTGATATACATACGTGGTACATGTAGTATTGCATAACTTACTCGTATGACTAACATATCCACTGGGTCTATTAGCCACTGTACTTTTAGTCTCTAAACAATATGTAGAAAGTGTGACTTAAAGTCTCATCAAAACAAAGCTGTTACATATTATATTTGAGCACGTCGCGATTTTGAGCGCATTAGTTAATTGTTGTAGTATAGTTAGCGCTCAAATACTATAAAAATAATAAATATTTACCTGCTAAGTTATAAGTTCTAACCGGCAAACAACTGTCGATACCACATACACAAACATATTAAAACAATATTGGCATTCAGTTTTCTAATTAGTTTCAAGCCAGTCTTTTGTTAGTTAATGTTTTTACACATACATATCTCTAAATATTATTGTTTCTAATAACTATTTGTTAATTTACTTATATAATGTTTATCCTTGCATTTAGAGACTAAAGTGATATTTAAACTTAAATATTTGTTCGTCTAGTTATGCCAATTTGTTTATTAGCAAGTTATGCATTGATAATTTATATATTGGTTTCAAATGCCCAGACAATCTAATCCAAACACACTTTAACTTTGCATTTAGTTGCATTATGAACAAAAATATGAAATATTATATAAATTAATTTCTTTTGTTTCGGTTCGTTGTCTAACTTTCAGTTTGGACTGCTTGTCGCTTAAGTAGAAGCCAAACAAAGCAATTATTTACACTGTGAACCTTATCAAGCGTTCCCAAGTTCACTTTGCTTGCTTTTTAAATTTCAAATCGTTGCTAGTACATATTGTATATATACCTATATGTATACATAATACATATATTTGTCTAAACTAAGTATGTGCATAAAATACGCAGTGTTTTGCAAATCACAGTCATTATCTGAAGCTTCAGCTTAAGGGCTCAATCCAATAGATAAATTAGCCTCTCCCGCCTGTCTTTGTATCTGTGTATACTCTGTCAATATTTATTTTATTTAACTTTGACAGTTTGATTAAGCCAAGAGGCGTAAGCGAAACGTGTTCAACCAATGAACAATTAAATCGAAACCCGACCAAATGTTGGCCACAAAATCAGTGTGAAACTCGCATTAAGTATCACAAATTGAATTAAATTCTCATGGGAAACAGTTGACCTTTTATTTCACATTATACTATTATCAATATTAAGTTTCATTAAAAAGACTCTCATTAGAAGCCAGAATACGTATATAATATTTATTTGCACTAATTGCAAACGCGTGGCATTTAGAGTATTATATTTGATAAGAATTTATACTTTTCAAGTGCGATTAAATGATTTGTCGAGCTTGCCACTATTGATAGATAGCATTTGTATAGCCCAAAGCGTATTTATATTGTTTTCTATTATTATACAATCACCCATTTAGAGTAAAATCAGTAAATAATAGAATTCAAGAGGGTGTGCGATTAAAACGTAGCCTGTTTATAGTAAATGCCCTATTTTTGTTTGATGACAATATAAATAAGAAAGAGCATTAATCGCTTACCACAGTTGCTTAAGTGCAAATTTTTGTATGCGTATCTCCAAATGAGAGTCCCTCTGAATTTGGAACAGATTGAGGGTTTTCCGTGTTTTCATTCTATACAATATAATTTATCACTCATATACAAAATTAATGAAGAAAGTCGGAAAACTCATAGCACGACGGTAATCTACTCAGATAGTTCAGGTTGGTAGCTTCAAGTTATATATATATATACAGATACTGACTGTTGCCGATTGCGTGGAATATTTAAAAGACAGTAAAGTATTCGCACCATACTTAGCTATTGATAAAATCAGCTGGCTAAGAATAATAACTACAGCAACAACAACAACAACAACTGTATCAAGCAGGTTCTTATTGTTAGTTGGCATGTTAACTGACAGTGCCGGGCATGTGACTCTCAGTTATAATAAATGGAATATTTTGCGCAAATATAAGGGTAAATAATTAAGTTATGGCCGTTTGCTAAAGCACACAGACATACAGTAAATTGATCACAGTTATGGGCAAAAATGTGTCGCCAGATACGCATTGTAATTCATGATCATGATGATAATGTGAAAGTCAGTGCTAATATTTTGCCTGCGACTATATAAACATTTAAATGACTGATTAATTTCGATTCATTTCTCTATAGTACCGATTATGTTAATCTCTAAATATAGGTTAATGTAACGCTGTAGCAATAGTTATGTATATTGTTGTATATACTACTTATACTATTTATAAGTGAGTACGTAGCATTCGTGTATGTGTTGTTATTAGTATCGATCACCATTTAACATGCATCATACGGCATCAACAACTAAAACAAAGCCAAATAATCGTAAATGTCCAAAAAAATAAAATTAAACTACATAGATTATTGACAGTGTAATTAAATTACTAAATACAAAAGTAAACTATGCGTGGAATAGCAAATAATTGTTAAATGTGTTTTGTGTGCATAGTTGACAAACAAACAAATAAAAAGCAAATAAACGAAATGTGAAATAAATAAATGACTCGTAATAAAAGTATTATTGAATCGTTGACAGATTGCAAAAGTTGAAAGAAAAAAACACATACTGAACTTAGCTCTGGTCTCTGATATAATAGTCTCAGTCAATTTTGGAATTGCGATATGTTCAAATTTTATAAACGGAAATTATAAAAACGTCTAGAACTAGAAAACTAAGTGAATGTTAATGTGTGCGTTTTTTGTCGGTGTAATTGTATTAATATTCGTATTATGCAAAACACAAACGTATATTTGTATGTTGTATTTGTATATAAATAGTATTTATGTATATCGAATACATATGATACAAACTAAAGAAATGAAGCAATTACAATCGTATATAATAAAGATAAAAATAAAAAGTTTCAAACATCAAGCGTGTTGTTGACTTTTCAAATACGACGCAACTCTCCTCAGGCAGTTGACGGATGACAGATGACGAGTTGAAGGGGGGCGATGACGGGGTGACGACGGGAGAAAGTGGCGGGGCACAAGTTGCAGCTTACGGGGCGCAACGTCATTGACCGTTATTGTTATTGGTGTACGTTTCTTTAAACTTTTTCTGTATTAACTGATACGCATTATATACTCTATATGCACAGATATGTAGACAAATATAGAGCCGGCCACAGCGTGATAACGATTGAAACAAAGGAAATTGTAAAATAAAAACAAGTTAGTAAAAATGAAATATAATCAACAATAAAAGTCTCAACAATAAAAAACTCACCGCTCTTTCGCCGCCTTAAAGGACTTTTTGCGCTGCTTGAGAATCGCTGAATTCTGTCCGTCATCTGTTTGAGGCAGATCGTTGGGAGATATCATTGTTATATTATCTGGATGGCAGAAGAATGCAATGGAGTGTCGACCACGAGCTCGAATATGCTCCTGCTCAGGTATAACGACGCGATGCTCCTGCAAAATGGAAGATAATGCAAATTATTAGCTTGTGCGTCCTTTTTTGTGAATTAGCGTTTGTTGCCTACCAGTGCGGGATAGCGCTCTTTCGTCCAAATGGACAAGATCTCGCCACAATTGATAAATATGGCACCCGGCAAGTGTCCAACACGATGCCACTTCTCGCTGCCCGGCAGTTTCACTTCCAAGCCGCCTTCGGAATCCTGCGCCAGCAGCGTAAACGTGCCGTAATCGACATGGGCGCCACAGCGTATAATCTCGCCATTGGCCAGCTTATGTTCGGATATCTGTCCATCCTTACCATTGGTCTGCACGCCATCCACCTCGTTTATGTCATCGCGGGGATTGTGTTCCGGCCGGAAGTCCGGCTGATCCGATAAGCAACGCTGGTAGCTATACTGGCAACGCCCCTTGATCACATCATCCTGACTGTGTCCGGGCTCATCGTCCACCACTGGCGGATAGTAGAGCATGCGCAGGGTGGTCATGTTGTCGTGATCGCCAGACAGCATGTGTGAGTGCTTCTCGAGGAAGAATGTGTGCGGAATATCCAGCGAGACGGCCAGCGCCTGCAGTATAAAGCTGCCCAGCGCCTTAAAGTCTGTGGCCAGTGTGCTGATGTGATCCGCAAAGCCTGGTAACGGCTCCTCTGGCAGATTCTGGGCATTCAGTGTGCATATGTTGAATGCATGTCGCAACTCCGGTACCTTGCCATTGAACCGTTCAACACCCGGACTCACATAGCCATGATTATCGCCATCGGTGCGTATATAATGCTTCTTAACATCAGCCTCCAGAACCACAAAATCATCCAGATGATCCCAAGCGGTCTTCAGCTATAGCAAAACAGCGTTATAATTCAGAATATGTATTCAAAATGTTTAATCAAGTTTAAGCTACCTTCTCATCAGATATGCCATGATTAACCAGCATCGCCATGCCCTTTTCGGATAACGCCTTTGCGAGCTGATGACCCACACGGTTCACCACCGATTTGACAGGGATCTCCTCAATGCCTGTAAGTATATATAACATACAAATACATTGTTACCATTAGTTAAATGTGTGGACGTGAGAATCGTACAAAGTTGAAGCCCCAAATCCAACGGAACTGCTACTTTAGATCATGCGATAAGTTATTTGTGATCAGCGATTAGTATCTTCTTGGAATGTTTAACAATATTAATAGCTGGTTGGGTATTTACAACCAGCTGCTGCCAATAATGATTAATACAGTATCGAGACCGTTTTTATTGAGACCAATTAAACTGCAAAAACCCATAATGAACATTAGCAATTTATACTTATTTCTCAGTAAATTGCAGTCATAAATAAAAGACGAAAAGTGCTCGCTGCTATAATGGCCAATGACGTAAATGCGTTTTGAGCAATCAAACTCGATGAAAATGCAATGGGAGTAAATGCAATAAAAATAGTTAAGTCAATTTCAATGCCAGTGCAAATGCTCAAAGCTATAACGATAACGGCGACGAAGCCGACATGATGGTTTTCCCCAGCGGAAAATTAAATAAAAATAAAATCACCTTCCATTAAGTGAGCGAAAGTCGCATCGGAAGTGAAGTCAAGCGGCTAACGCAAGGATCTGACTACATCAATAAAGACACAAAAGGAAACCAGAGCACTTAAGAGCATGCATAATAAGAAGAAAATGTATGAAGCCGGTTAAAGTCCACAGATATATAGCTAACCTTATCTTACCTGTTGCGCAACAACAACATTGAGATATGACTTTTATTGATGTGTTTTTTATATCTTAAAATTGTATATATATAGATATGCATATATTTATTTTCTCATTGTCCATTCAGCACCAGGCAATGAATGAATACAAACAATTGCAAATATTTCCACACGTTCACGTTGGCAATCTATAAATAAATAATTGCCAATTTCATATCAACTGTTCGCCCATATTTCCTGCCACTTTTCCAGAGCACACCCTAATCAGCACAATGACGCATGGCTTTCTCAGCTGATAAGCATAAAAATTCACGGTTAATAGTAATTACGTTGTGACGTTATCAGTTTTTGTCACCAGGCGACAAATACATTAAATACTTGTATGAATATAACGCAATTCTATGAAAGTGTTGTCATGCCAACAACAAGTTCAACATGACGACGATGATGATGATGACGATGATGACACAGCTTTCAGAGAGGTCAAGCAATCCTTGGAATGGAATCAATTGAAACGCCACGCCTCCTTTCGATTTCGATTTCGATTTCGATTTTATTAGATGCACATACATGTTTATATACACATTTGTGTACAAAATCCCATTTGAGTTGAATTGAAGGAGGAGTAGGTAGAACAGTTTATTATGACTATTGTTTGCATGCACTTCAATTAGGCGCCAACTGTGTTGCGAGCACTTTTCAATTTGCAGCAATTTTTTTGTATTTATTTTGTGTTGTTTTTTTTTGCGCAACTCACATGCTTATAGTCGCTAACTTGTCGCTAATTTATCTATATTGAGGCTAATTAATTGAGTCACCAGTCAGGCAAACATTATGTTGAGGCCACTTGTCGCAAGCGTTGAAGATCATCGCCTCGATTGCTGCCGCTTGCCACACATTGAATATTGCTTTTGGCTTTGAGATTCTATTCCGAAATGTTTGATTGGCATCAGTGTTCGATCCGCTGCCAAATTGTTTGTGTTTACGAACATTTGTATATGTATTTAATATTTATGGGTGCTCGCTTTTGTGGGGCGCCATAAACTGACGAATATGCGTTTTGCGGCTTTTTATACATTTAGCATTGTGTATTTTAGAAATGGAATTTCTATTGACGCCACGCTTGCTGTGCATACCCTGTACTCGATAAAAATGGTAAGGCACGTGTGTAATAAAGATTTTCAAATTTATTGAGTTATTGCTCAACGTATAGCTGCCATAATATTAATTATTTCTTTTCTTCAGAAAAATTTAAAATTAAGATTTACAATATCCAAGTCAAAGTCAGGAAACACCTGAGACCTCGAACTAGAAACCAATGTTTATTATTCACTATTTGTCATACATCGAGTCCTACATTTGCATTGATTTCATAAGTGACTCTTGAAATAGTGTTTTCTAGTCGAGCATGGCTGAATCAGTTGCTGCCTCGTTTCTATTCTCAATAAATGATTTAATTCAATATTTATAGCACAATTTATTTACACATACAAATATACGCGGACAGCTCTAATAGCAATTTAGTTTAGTTGGAAATTCTGTATGCATATAAAAACTGCTGACCACACTTATAACATAGTTATATTTATAGACAACTTAATTGGACTCAGTTAAGTGGGGGTTTGCTGCGCAAAAACAGCGCAAAATATTTAAATTGCGAAAATTAATTTTATAGGTTAAATCAATCGTCAGACTCAAATGCGAAATGCCTCCAAATCTAATCGATTTGTTATGAAATGTTTATATTTGAACTCAAGTGTAGAAAATTCAAATTTGTAAATGTTTTTTAAAAACATTGCTTGGAATTTCAATAATTTTGCAGTCAATTTCTTATATTTTTCGGTCTTTGATGTTCTGAAGCATTCTCGCATTCAAAAATCGATCGTTAAATCTAAAAGCAAAGGCATTAAATGTTTTCATACTTGAAATAAGGCATAAAATCAATGCTGAAAAACCTCACTGGGTTCAGATTCAAAGAAGAAATACATTTGTAATATTCAAACTAAAAGAGCATCAAAATAAAATTTTAAATTTATACTCAGATCAATACAGTTTAACCTTGTGGGTTTTCACAACTTTTTTGAAGCTTCTAATATTTCCATGACTTTTCGCGCAGTGTTTGACAGACTTATCCGACAATTAACGCTTAGTTAATTAATAATTTGTCACGAATTGTTGGCCATTAACATGAAAAAATCCCCCAAAACATAATCATTTTCATTTCATTGCAATGCATCAGATTATTTTAAACCCGTCTAAATCAAAACAAAACAGAAAATATATTTCTATAGCGGGAAAACCATTCAACATATTTATGTAAGTGTGCGGGTCTAAGCCAGTTTTAGACGTCGTATGCCGAGTTGCTTATAGTTGTTGTTATTGTTATTGATGTTGCTGTGACGATGCTGCAAGTTTTAATTTATCTACACAATCAGCCAAGTGACGCTGCTGGGAATTTGCTGGCCAAGTGCGTCACAGTTCCGTTGACGTAGCTTGAATCGAGGGGCGGGCTTGGTGCTTGTTGTGCGAGTTTGTTATTCGGTTTGTCTGAGCACTGTGTAAATAAAGTAGTCTACACAACAAATCAAACAAGTACTTGCCTGTATCTGCCCATCCCATTCCCGCCTTTCATCCATATGTGTGCCGAGCAAAACCGAAACCAAAACAAAAATAAAAATAACTCACGATAACATCCAAATCAAGTTCCCAATGCAAATTGTAATAATACTTGAATGTGAATGTTGTGATGCATTTTGTTTGGGTTTCCGCACTGTTCAGGCGCATTTTGATTTTTCTGACTGGCATTGGACAAACTTTGAGTAGTACTCATATATGTGGTTCAAAAACCTCTCCAGCTTGAAATCAATTTAAGTTCCGTTGACACAACTGCTACGCATACACTTTCAACCTAGTTCAATGCTTGGTTTGTATACTTACTTGTTTTGAGGGTCAATGGCAGAAATGTTTGGAAACAAAATCGACAAGTGAAGGTCAAAAGCTGAAGCGAAGATTGACAGGGCATCATTTCAGTCCGACTTGGGTAAGTGACACTGTAAATTCTCTAGCTTTCAATCACCCAAGTGTTGATTTTCGAATACTAAATATGCGCTGGTGCTAAATACATCAAACAAATAGAGTACATATCAACAATACTAATTTGAAGGCTTAGTGGTGGAATCTTCTTATCGATACTCATACATAATCTTGGTCACCATTGATTTAACAATTTTAATATAACAAACTAGACTTGGTCAATGTTAATCTAAGCCCTGGTTAATTACTTTGCACTTCGACTAAACTGGGCCAAACAAGTAACAAAGAGAAGTAATTTAAAAATAATTATGGAAATTTACCAAATAACTTCCAAAACGTATTCATATAATACAGTATTTAACAGTATGTCGAAATAGAACGGGAACCAATTATAATCCATAGCTAAGCGAGTTTAAATTTTTTTGTCATTATCATTATGACCCATATAATTATTATTCAAAAGTAGATTTTAAGTGTCATACTTATTACAGTGCTACTAAAATGTGAAGCTCATACACAAATTATAATAATTAAATTTCATGATATACCATATCATCATGAAATCACTCTTGTATATCTGGCCGCAATTAGAGTCCATGAGACCAGATTACACATAATAAACTAATATTGTTGGCTATTAACTTGCTGAGGCTAATTATGAGTCTAAATGGCTCAGTCAATTATGGCCAAAGATAAAAGATTTAAGTAAATATTTGCAAGCTTCAAAATATTGTAAAATGACTATTCACAAAGTATTGGCCCTACATATCTGATGTATGCATTCGTAGATTGTTTTTATTTTAAAATTATTGCTTTCACAATTTTTTTTATTTTTTTTTTTTTTTTTTGAAGATTGCGGCTTGTGCAAGTTTAACATTTCCTTAACAAGGTGAATATAAATTATTTTCTTTTTGTTTAAAATGTAGACTTTAGTCATTGAGAAAACCGAGTGACAGACAGGTATCTGTTGCACAAGTTAATAAATAATTAAAATTGACATGCGCTCAAAAAAATAAAACAAAGATAAGCAATTGCAATGCAATTACGAGATACAGACGAGAAAACAACTGCTAATTATCCAGGAATGAGTCAGGGCTGTATCTAATTAACCATCGACGATTCAAGCGCTAGCTAAAGGCGTGCTTGGCAACAAAGCCAGAATGGCGCATAGCACTGGTACATGTTGTACACTCATGATATGTACATATGTATATATATATATATATATACATGCATAGTTGCCATGTGTGAATTGAACTTACCGCAATGAGCCAGATCGATGATTGGCACTGCAGATCGTGAGAGCAGCGTGTCCAGCTTATCGTCACTCGATTTTGTTTTCAGCATTTTGCTTGTGTGTGTGTTTGTTTGTTTGTTTGTTTATATATTGTTTATTCTTTAACTCTTTTTATACACTTCTTTGGTTTTTGAGTCAAGACTCAATTCAGCTCTTGGCGCAATTCTTGGGCACTATATCACCTCTATCAGCGCCTAAGAATTATTACTTTTTATTATAATGGTTTGTTTGTTGTCTGTTTCCGTCTCTCTCTTTGGCTATTCAGCTTGACGACGAAGCAATTTAATTGTTTTATTATTGTTGTTGTTGCTCTTTTCATTTGTTTATGTTACGGTTTATATGTTCGAAGTGGCTGTTGGCCAGCGACCAGCGATTGTGACGCGCAGCCACGCCAAACGATATCAAAAACAAAAGCCAAAACCAAATCGAAACCAACAGCTATAAAATCCAATTGGAATATAAAAAAACGGCTGAGTAGGGCGCGTGTCGGGTGCGTTTCTTTTTTTTGTATTTTACACGCCCAGTGAGAAAATCGAGCGAATCAAAACCGAACGTTGCGAACGCGACGCGTTTCTCTGACAAACTGATCGGGCATGAAACCGAGTTGCCGTTTTCTTGAACATTCCTCGAGTTGTTGAGTTGTTTTTGCTCAGCTGTCGCGATTGCTGCTTCGTTCGCTGCTTCTGCTTCTGCTTCTGCCGCTGCTAATGCTTATCGCACCTCTGGCTTTGGTGCTGAGATTTTCTGGTAAACTTTATGTACATATATATGAATAAGTAGCTTGATTTTGCAGCTGTGAGCGTCATATGCACTGAGAAAAAAATATTTTCAAGAATTTAGAAAACTATTTGTATTATATGACAAGCAAAATAAATCTTAGTTATTAAAAATAAAAAATTGTTTTTCTGTTGTTTAAATTTTTATTTAGATTTATTTGCATTTTTAAATTTCAGATAAATTGTATGTATATTTTTTTGTTGAGTGCATTTAGTATTGAGCGTAAATCTCAGTTTGTGTGCGAGCAATGTGTACCTTCGCATGTACGCAGCAATTAGATAAAATATAATCAAATCAAATTTGTGATAAGTAAATTAGCACTTGTCGTTTGTGCATGCGGCCGGGCAACAACAGCTGCATGGCTGAATACGACAAGACGGTAAACAGTTCGTACGGGTGAGGAGCGCATATATCTGCTAACTAACTGCTAAAAACACGATACAAGTATTTGCACTGGGCCCCCTTTGGTATCAAAAGCCAAAGCCATGCGCAGCGGCCTCAGTCGCAATCTCATCAACAGGTAGCTGCTGCCAGAGTTCGCTCTCGCGATATTTCAGGTACTCGCACACACATTTAAATGCTGATATGCACAGACGCACACACACACATACACACACGCGCACACACACAACACACACACATAGATGAATACATATGTATGCATGTATTTATATGTCTGCACATATATATGCATGTGTAAGTTTTTGGCTTCGCTTCGTGTTTTTATTCACAAGGCGAGCAGATACTTTTGTCAGTTGTTTGTACGTATATATACATATATATGTATATATTGTACATATGTGTATGCATATATGTAGACTGGTGCAAATGTATCTGACAGATCTCGTTTAACGGCACTCGCACACTTCTACTCAGGTGTATTGCCTGATTGCTGCCCGCTCCGCGTCGACCCTTGCCAAACCAGCTGAGCTCAAAACTCCATGCGTCGTGTCTGAACTTTGATTTTGGGTTTCGCTCTTGTTTTTGTTTTGATAGCGTCTGTTGCCGTTTGCTGTTTGTCGTTTGGTGTTTGCTGTTGCCAAGCGGCATCACAGGAAACGCCAGATGAGACGGCCGTATAAAGTCTGCAACATATGCATCTTCAGGGATGACAACGACAGACGGAGTACCCCGTATGTGTGAGTCGTATCTGTGTGTTAGTCGTAGAGTGTGTGTGTGTGTGTGTGTGTGTATATGGTAATGAGTAAGCATTTCTCAAGATATGTGCACAAATGTTCATTTGCATATCGAATCTATTTTTAAATAACTCGATTTATATATACACATGTATATTGAATTCGGAGTTTCCAAATGAAAAATCACTTTCTTTTTTCGCACAGGTTTCCCTTAACACAGCGTCACGTCACCAAAAAAATCACCAAATCATTTCTACAGTTTGATGTGTTTTTTGTTTTTATTTATTTAACTTTTCGCACACTTTCGAATATTTTGTAACACACACGCGAACGCGAATTTAACCTAAATACAATACAATAAAAAATGCGCACGCCAACAGTTGAGCCAAGCGGAACCTATTTACCTGGCAACAGAGTAACCAGAGCAACAGCAACAGCCACCACAACAACAAAAACAACAATAATAATAATAAAAGCAGCAACAACGTTGCTACACTTACAAAAAAACAGTACGCAAACGACAAACGCGCCAACGAACGGAAGGGACGCGTCTGCACTTCACCACATTTTCGCCAACACTGCGAGGCGAGTTTGAGTTTCAAATTCAATTTGCCTGCAACTTCAACATACACTGTAATATATACATATCTACAATTCACACATTCAACCGTATATACACACTTAGATCCATCAATTTCATGGCATACTTTTGGTCTGGGACTAAAATTGCGAAACTCAAATTATTTGATATGACAAAAAGTTTGACATATCGAAATGTCTGGCACATATATGTGCATGTGTTTTATCAAAGTATTCTAGCAAATCTTGATTGTTAAGTTATTTTTATATATCATGAAATAAAGTTCATGATAAAATCACACTGAATCACATTTTAATTCTGGCAATTACGTCTTTAATCTTCAATTGCTGTTAGTCAACTTTTCTTCATCATCTTATCGCATTTTCTGTGTGCTCGATGAGTAGACCATTATCTATATTATCTAGAAAAATATTCATAATATGAATCAATGAATAATGAGTGTATCAATTTCATGATACAAAATTATTTATATATTTTATTTTGCATACATTTTGCCACTCCCACATAACCCATCTCCAGTGTGTCTTTTCCCGGTTTTGAAAATCCAAATCAGATTTTTCCCTTGCAGTATACCCAATTAAAGCTGATTCATTAACAAATACAAAATTGCGATCATCTGACAAGATTTGTGCCAAGAGTTTCTCTGGCAATCGATTGACGAATGAGTCAGATGACAACTTGGGTATTGTTTCTGACTCAACTGCACTTGCGCGCCATCTAGAGGAATTTATAAAAGTTAAAGATTTTGCGATTGTTGTTGCATACTTTGTGGCATTCGATTTAATTTACAATTCGTATTGTTTATTTTTTTTCAAAATTTGGTTCAGTACAATTTAAAAACAATTTGGGTATGTTACAAAAGAAAAAGGGGTAAACTAAATTGCTGCCAATGACAATTTGGTGTTTTGCCATCTGCTGTATGTCTTAGAGTTTTATTGCACGCCAATCAATAAAATAAACACTACATACACGTATCGATGAGCTATAATAACTATAATATTTGGTTCTATTTTACTTTGCCAATACGGCTGGTGCAAGGCATCTTGCACTGCGCAATGGCGTCTGTTCAAAGAGCCACATTCTCATGTTTGACTTAAAATACTTCAGAACTTAACAGCTACAAAATGTAATATCCAATGTACATACATACACCCAGTATAACTAAAAGGGTGTGCGGTACCCCTCCCATTTTGACAGGGTAACTTCACAGTAGACGTGTACAGGCTATATATATACATATATATATATATAAACCTAACTAACGATTCGGGAACCGATCTTAAGGCAAAAAATAAAACATCGTCAAGGTGACTCTACTCCTGCTTTACCGCCAACTTGGCCTGTGCCGCCAGTTTGGCCTTTGCGGCCTGCTTGGCCTCCTTCCTGTAGTTGTGCACATAGAAGGAGCTGAACATATAGGTGAAGAGGCCGGCATTAAAGGTCAGCAGCGCCGCAATCGATTTGGGGAAATCGCAATTGGGCTGGAACTGAATCTGCAGCGTGTGCACAAAGATGATAAGGAATTGCACCTGTTCAAAACAAAAGTGGGTTAATCCATCAATCAAACAATATTTCGTGAAATTCACTTACAATCTGGAGTATGGTGATGTACTTCTTCCACCACAGATACTTCTGTACCTTGGGACCCATTGCCGACAGCAGATAATACGCATACATAATGATATGGATGAACGAGTTGATGAAACCCAAAAGTGTGCCATGACCGCCGGCAAAGTACTTGACTCCAACGAATGCACACACGGGCATCAGAGTGTGATGGTACAGATGCAGGAATGAAATCTGGCGATCCTTCTTGCGCAGCACAAAGAACACGGTATCCAGCAGCTCAGTGATCTTGGCAATATAGTATAGCCAAACAGCGCCTGCCATCTAGAAAGAAGAAACATTTATTTATATATAGATCCATATGAATTATACTTGAAATTTCATATTATAGCTCTAAGCTTAAACTTTATTTTTATTGAGTAACTTGATTAATAACTCAACAGCATTCAACTAATTGCTTCGATGAACGACTGCATGAATATATTCGTTTTGTTAAGCTTGTCACTAAATATAACATATATGCTATATATAAATACAATAATAAAATATGCAAATATATTTTAGAAATAAATGTCTCCACAGTGACTAGAACGCTAATTGAACAGTCATTTTACTTGTAAAGGAAGGCAAAAAAAATGAAATGAAATGAAATAAAATACATGTAAAAGTATTTGTAAGGCTAACATACCCTCATCGAGATTGGATCCGTTGCATAAGTCACCGGCTGGCATTTGAAGTTGTAGTGACCGCCCCAGCCGCCCTTGTAGCCCTCGTAGAACAGCACCCAGCTGAGCAGCACTTGCACCGCATTATAGATGAGCAGTGTGTTCTTTAGCTCGAACGGTTTACGATCGCGCATGTAACGCGGTCCGGCATACAGGCAAAAGTACAGATATGCGCCCAGTATCATGAACAGCGGTCCGGGTGCATTCGAAAGGAACCAGCTCTGTGGCATAGAATTAATATAAGTCCGATCTCAACGCTTTTATCTGATTCCGAGGCTTACCTTTGTGCGCAAATCCTCATGTTCCACGAAAAAGTTGACCATCTTGTCAACAATGGTATGTGTCTCGTTCAGTCTGACCGACATTTTGCCAACTACAAATAAATAGCAATAACAATTTATTAGTTTATTCCATTTTTGGATTAGCTAAACATTAGCAAATAGCAGATAGCTCGGTATTTACACATTAGACCGTCTCCTCGACTGTTATTTAATCTATTGATCTACTGCGCTAATCGCCAAGCCACATAATTGGCAATCGTCAAGGTAAAGCCTCGCCCACGTCTTCGGCATCTGACACAGTATTGATGAAATATTAGCAGTCAATGGGTCATAATTGTGGTACTTTACTTGAGTGTTAATTGGCTAGTTAATGCAAACATATGTAAATTAGCCAGAGTCACAGAGTTCCGGGCCATTAACCCTGCCCGGCAAAAAGCGACAAATATGCATTTATTTCAAAGGCAGCTCGAAACTCTTCTGAGTGCTGGCCTCAGCTGAAACTGAATTTCTGTTTTCATATTTTTATTTTTAGTAAAATCATGGGCTTTTACTAGTGGCTAAAATTACATGCGACCAGGGATACATGATACTACAAAAAGAAATCAGTTAGCTCAGAACTGGTTTGATTATTTCTTATGCCAAATCAACGTTGTTGTGTTGTTGTCGCCGTCTTTGTTTATTGTCTTCTAGTTTTTTTTTTTTTTTATACAATCTGGAAATGCCGAACAGGCAACAGCATCAGAAGCAAGATAGTTCAAGGACAGGCAACTTTGAGGCAGAAACCAGTTTCCATCAATATTAATAGCTGCTACCTTGCAACATTATGTGTGCAACGTGCGAGGCCCGTCATAATTGTTGGTCAGCTAGATAAGCGCAAGTCCTGTGCTTTTGCGACTAAGCATATTAATTGCCTGTTCATGTTAACATGATAATCCTCATGTTTAACTCCTTGCTTGCAAATTGCACATATGCCAACGATAAGTTCAACCCATTTTACATTTTATACCCTGCACCGAATAAAAATGCATACGAATGCCGGGAAGTTGGATAAGTGTATGTAACATTAATAAAAGGAAATCGGAGGGGAATTGTTTACTCATATTTATTAAAGAACGCAGTAGCCAGCTCAAATATTATCTGTATAGATTTACACACAAATACATATACATATATAGACATTTAAACAAAAATGCACTTGAGCTTGTTGCGGCCTTGAACAGTTTGGATTTGGATGCGAGCTTTGTGTGCGGATCAAATTACAGTTTAATGCACTCCGGTTGCACAAAGTCGCTAAGGCGTTTGTCGCTCGTCCCGAGCTCTTCAAAATTGGCGTAAATCATTGGTAAACATGCCCCATGTCAAGTTTCTTTAATGTCGGTGAGAAATTTTGTTTTTGTTCGCACTTTGCCGTTCTAATTATATGACGCGTTGCATTCAAATTTGTCTTGTCATTATCCGTACCAAATCCAAATCCCAAACGTTGCCAGTTTTCTGCGCAGTCATTGTTCTATGTCAATGAGAACTTTAGTGTTTTTATTAAGCTTTGTTTTTGTAGCACTAAGCATGGCTCTTAACCCAATGCGACACCTGCCGAAAGTCTTTGCCTTCAATCGGACACGTGTAATCCATAGAATTAAGTGACACTATCGGATCCAATCTGTTCAACTGAAATCTTTTTGTTGGTCTAAACGATGACATAATATTTAGCAAAAGATAAATGTATTGGTTAAATCAGTTAACTAAAAATACTAATAGTTATAATTGTATTATCAAACTATCTACTACATCTGTCTACATATAATGTGTATAAATATATAAGTAAGTGTATCTGTGGCTCTCCCAATCAGGATTGTTATCGAATTTGATTCAATCTTTAACTCAATCAAAACTTGTTCTAATATTTCTCATTATCGAATTAGACTCGTAATTCAGCCACAGCTTGTACCAGGTTAATAGCCTACGTGCATTTCTTTCAATGTCAATATAATATCGTTGAACTCAAAACAGATAAAATGAAAAATCCAATAGTCTAACAGAGAATTATATTTAGTTACTTTACTGACGTCAGAAACATCGTGACAAAATTACAATAACATTAATCCGATTTGGAGTAAGTTGCATATATAAATACACACTTTATACTCTACACTTAGACTCTATTTATTCAACGGCTCCGAAGAGTATATGTGAAATCATTTGAAATGTGTTTGAATAAAAATTAATATCGATTGCATAAGCTCATAGAATATACCAAATTTTTTCCGGTTTTATTTTTTGCCGGCTTAGCTATTTCTTGATCAACTGGCTGAGGCCTTTCTTTCTCAGATCTAAAATCTGCAAAACTAGTATTAAGAACTAAGTTTTTTTTTTTTATTTCGCGTCTGAATTATTCCATTCAAATTGATGACATTGAATTCTTATACGCATACCCACATATACATACCTGACTGTTTGTATAAATGTGTATATCCTATTTGCTGAACACATTCATCGGTAAATACCTACAGATCTCATGGCTCATTCTAAGCAAACAACTTGTGTACGTATGCTGTAAATTTTGCATATTTATTTATTTTGCTATTAATTTCCTAAACATGAGCGACGTTCACATGCAAATCAGTTTGAAAGTGTGTGTGTGTATCTGTGTTTGTTTCGTTGTTCCCGGTTGCTATGCATATGACTACTATAATTTGCTCATCCTGATCACTTTTTGAATGGCAATGCCCGCGATCCAAAAATTGTTTCTAGCCAATAACGAGCTGAAAACACAATGCTCTATAAATATTTGCATCAATTTTGCATAATGCTGCAAACAAACCACAAGAGCTGAATATGCCTAAATATAAAGAAAAAAAAACTTTCTGGTGATTGTAGATATTTGGCTATCAATTAGTGAGGCAATTGCGAAATTGTGTATATATATTCGAATAATGTAAATAAGTAGAAATGTTATCCACTCAATGAGCTCCAGCTGTTGACGTCACTGTCCAGGTTCTTCTTATTATGCGATAATCCGACCCGCTTCATACAGCGAACTAAAAATTCTACACACGCCTTAGCAACGCCACATCACAAAAGAGGCGCACGTTTACTATTATGACTCTTTTCTCCCCATTTATTTTCGTACACATAACATTCCACCAGTTTTGGAAGTGGCGCACATGTCGTATACGCATTGTTGAGCTTAGCCTTTAAGTTTTTGATTGTGGCTTGAAGTTTGAGCTATTGATAAGAGACTTTATCGAAGGTTGCATATCTGTTGTTACACGCATAGTGTTAAGTTGCTATCTAAACTCGACAAGTCATTGAGCTCGACAGCAACAACATTAACAAAGCAGCCACCCAAAAAAAAAAAAAAAAAAAAAACCAAAACAAAACAAAACAAAAAGAAAAAATGGACAAGTGCGCCGTATAAACTTAATCAGCAGATACAATGTCAGTGTCGGCAGCAACTGATCTGATTGAAAGGCGAGTCTGTAGCTGATGCTGGACCCGAGGCAACAACAGCATCAGCAACGCATTATAAAATCACTACGAAGGTCACACGCTTTTGAGGAAACGAAATCGACAACAAAATGAACTCTTGCACTCCGCAGCCTCCAGTCCCCGTCTGCGATTTGTTATTTCTCTGTGTTTTTTGGTTAATAAACAAATATAAGCATTAAGATACAAAATTCACAGCGTGTTTTTTCTTCTTTTTTTTTTGGCTCCTATTAGCGGGCAGCAACGAGCTTGAATTTTAACGCAACTTGTATGCAGATTTGCGACTTTATTGAAACTCGATTTTTATTGCTTTTACTCTTTGGTATTAGTTTATCTTCGATGCTCGCAGGCATCACCTTGAACTAGTGCGTATTCGTGCTAGTTGCCGCGCATTATACTAGTAACATAATTAATAATACTAATAATAATATGAACAAAATTGTCTACACGTCTATCTTTCACTAATAAATAATGCTTAAAAAGCGCTTCCGAGAGCCGATTGACAAATGCAACATTCTAAATGCATTAATTTTTTTTTCTAAGTAAATAACAACATTAGATCGTGATAGTAAAGTTAATATACCGGTAGTTTTTAGAATTACACGAGGCCTTCCTGTTAGTTTGTTAATTAGTTAACGAATATAGTTGGAGCATTTAAGAAAACAAATTCATTCGTTTCACGTTTTTATTTGGCGTCTTTTTTTGCACAAATATTTAACTAAAAGGGTATTTAAAGTAATCTTGATATTATTTTCTGATTGAGAACGTTTTTTGTGACGTTTCTCTCTGGTCTTAATTTTTATTGTCATTATATTCTTATAATTAATCTATTAATGCCGATTTTTGTTTGTCACCTTCAACACAATTTGACTTCAATTAGTTGTCTATTAACTTAATGCTCTTAAAAAAATACCGAGGCATTTTCCATTTAAGAAAAAAATACATAAGGCAAAATATTTATGACATTTTTTTAATAATTCTAAAAAAATAACAAAAGTGTTTAATCATTAAATGATTATTAGGCTTATCATCAATAAGAATCAAATGACATATTGATAAAATCATAATAAATTGAAAATCGGTTTCTATCAGCATATCGCCTATATTTGTGGTAGTTGACGTAATATTGTCTCTTCTACTCCTACTACAGCTGATATTTCTTGCCCCCTTAAAAATATCAAATGCGTTTTATAAAAATGTAAATAATTTTCATTATTAACTTTGTACCCATAATGGGTAAACGGTTCGTTGCCAGAGTCTTTCTAAATATTTACTAGAAATTTACACACCTGTAAATCAAAACCGTCGAGCGGATAATTGCGACAACTGCAAATGCAAAAATAGTACTTAGGGGTGTGTGCTCAGGCAAAATGAACTACTGACTTCAACTTAATATTTAGTACTTAATACTAACTCATTTAGGCAACAGTCATCAGTTGGCGACGACATCATCATCATCATCAACTCTATGATTACTATTACCATTATTGTTTTATATTGTTGTTGTAAAATTTTGACAAATCATTTGCTCAATACCAAGGGTGTAAAGATTGGTTAAGTCATTCGTAGTACATAGTTAAACTATGCTAAAAAAAAATAAATAATGTCAATGTTTGTATTGATGTGTGTGTTGATATTTAGATACTTGGACAATATTGTTGACAATGAGCTGCTGCAAAGCGCGAAAACTTCTGGCCTCCAATATTTGCCGCTTCATCATCAGTGTCATGACGTTCTGTTATTCTGGCTCGCTTGCTCTCGTTAGATTTTCACCTTGCCATTATTAACAAATTTTGAGCAGCGACCGTGGCTTGTTAGGCAAACGAAGTGATTTGAAAACCACCAGGCCAAGAAAATGGCGAAACCCAAATAAAGATAAGATGAGATGGTTTCTGCTCAAAGGTGTGACTGTCAGCGCATGTGACCCCAATTGGGCTTGAAATTAAAATGCTATTTCACATGGCTGAGATGTCACCCGAAAAAGGCCGCAAAATATAACAAATGACACCCCCGTAATCGACCAGCAGCCCACAGCAGCCAGCACCTGTGAAGCAGTTGCCCAACCCAACGGATGTGCAGCAAAAATTTTGGCTGGCAGAAATTGGGGTTTTTTCTTTTCGTTTTGACTCTCTTTGATATAAAGATAATTTGACTAGCTCGTCGGACTGTGCTGTCTGGGACTTTTGGTCGGGTCTGTTTACGCCAAGACAACAACTATAAAGATCATAAATAAACAAATTGCGCGCATGCGTTACCATTGCGACGTCAGCGCCTTTTTGAAGGGCATTCGGCCGATTTACGAATATGAGAAATTGGTTACAGTCTTGGCACCAACTTTTCGATTTCTTACACATACAGATGCGTACGTACTGCATACGTATATGTGAATATGTACACATACATACAAACATAAATATGTACTATAAACAGTTTATATTGTTGTTTAGCACATTTTCCACGAACTTGATCAAGTTTTCACATTGCGTCAAAAGAGTAGATATTTTACTGATGATATAATACCGCGTAATTGTAGGAAATTGGCAGTAGCATCTATGTATGTACAATAGGCATATGTATTTACAATATTAACAACAAGTTGTTACTGTTGCGTGGCCAACTGGATGTGCTTTTCGAATACATCAGATTGACAACAGTCGCTGATTATACTCTGTTGTAGTAGTTGATCAATCGTCGAACACAAATTTACATATGTTTTGATAATTGACTTTAGTGATTGACTCTGCGACAGCTCACGATTTCAGACTAAATATGTTGGCCACATACACATTGTATATATATGCACATATGTATCAGCTATATTTGGTGTTGTAAGCTGGTTTCGAAGATGCGAAGTTGCTGTTTACAATACATATATGCGGGGGGTCCACGGAATGGGTCCACAAACACGCACGACTCTTTCGTAATAAGTCAACAATAAAATGAAATGGCTGTGACTATGGAGACTTTAAGGCATCTCCCTTAATTTAAATGCAACATATTGTTGATTCAAAATAATTCTGCAGCACACTTGCCTTTTATACGATCGCCAACAATTGAATGGGTTTGATATTATATATAGTTATATATGGACACAACACTGCACGTAGCACTTATTTAAATCTTCTATTTTTATCAAACCGAACGATTTTGTTTGGGGTGATCCTTACACAAATCACGAGACGAGAACACGCGGACGCTTTAGAACGCTTTAGAAGCAAGCAGCAAATAAATGGATATCAGTTTTGCCAGTGGCCAACTTCACGCTATTGCGCTTACTATGCGGTTAAAGCGCCGGCAACAAACTAAGCGACATCCGGACGCGACAAGCCGTCTTCTATGCGCCGCCGCAGCACAGACACAATACACACACACACACACACACACACACACACACTCACACGCAAACACACGAAACACACATCACACACACACACTCACACACACGTGCACAGCGAACAGCAGCGACTTTGATACGGGCTCGATCGATTGCACGAGGTGAGCTCCGAAGCCGATCGCCGATTGCCGATTGTTATTGTTGTTGTTGCTGTTGTTGTTGCTGTTGTTGTTGCTGTTGTTGTTGCTGTTGTTGTTCGTCAAGCCACAAGCAAAAATGTGTGTATGTGTCAATCGACAGTTCTGTGTGGTTAGACAGGTGATCGTGGCTGGGTGTCTGGTTGTATGTGTGTGTGTGTGTGTGTGTGTGTATTATTTTATGCTGACCTGTTGCATGTTTTTGAGGGCCTGTGTTCTATAATTTGATTATCTTCAAACTAAACTACTAATTATTAATTATCAATTATCAGTGATTAGTGCCAAATGTATGCACACACATAAATTCATATATTGTTATTGGAAAGCAATAATTTCTATTATCGTGTAGTTAACGAGTTTTTCTATAATTTTATTGTAATTTTGTTTTCGTTTGTCTGATTGGATATGGCATAACTCTGATACACGAGTATCTCTGTATATATATATATATATATATATACAGATGCAAAATAGCAGGCAGCTTTCAGCTCCCAACTCCTGACGTGCACAATTATCGACTAGCCTAGTCTAGACAACCAAAAGGCAACCCAGCGGCCCATATGTGGCTTAGTGTGCAAATTATTGTGTAATTTAATGGCACCAAAAGGCCACAACCACAAGACCAAATCACATCAACATCAACGGAGCTGCGACTGGGTGAAACCACAAACAGAGGCATTCCTAACTTCAGTGGCCACTTGTAGCTTTAGCCAAGTCATCATAGAGCTTGCGCTCTTGGTGTCATTATGTAGGCGCAAGTACGAATATGAGTGCGACTATGTAAGTACTCAAACTATTAACCATTACAATAATGCACAAAAAAAAAAACACTACAGAAAATGAGAAAAGAAGTTTACAACTGCGCCCAGTCTCAGGCAGCTCACCCAGTGACTGACTGTCTCGCTGGCTGACTGACATTTTGCCACCAGCCAGCCTCCAAAATGCGGCACAAGCTGCAATTTGGTGCGCCAACAAATTAAATGGCTTTTGACGCCAAGCCGTTACCTTGGTCCCTATTGTTAATTACTCAATTGGATTTCTAACAAAAGAGAAAAATCTACGCTATATCAAAATGTTCTTCAGATGTTGATTGATATGTCCGCACATTCATAATACAAAAAACTGCATGCTAGATTCTTAATATTTAATTTCATTAACGATTCATTCACAGATCTTTGTCACCAGCACCCCAAAATCAGATTTAGCTTGCGTTTCAGCTTCCGCACTTTTGAAGGTGAATCGCTGCTTTTTAGGCATGCCTAACGCGTGTTTTGCGCCCAGCAAAGCACAGCAATCAATGTATCGCTTTTGGGTTGGCGTACATGCGGTTCATTTCAATTGCCAAACAGCTGCTGGTCACACTTTTGGTAACAATTTGCGCATATTATTCAAATTGATGTCTGGTATATAGTTGAACGAATTTCGACGCGTGCTCTAACTGTCAAATGAGTGTGTTTTAAATTGAAAAAGTATAATAAAGTATAATGGCATATTATATTGTTAGTACCAGTATCAGTCTTGAGAACCAGACATAAACATCAGTATTAAATATGCAAAAGTCTTGGCCGATAAATTTTAAGTTAGTTTGACCGTTAAACATCATAAGTTGTTTACAAAATTTCCATTACAGTTTTAAGACCTAGACCTAAACGTCAATATTAATTCTACAAGAATCTTGGGCGATAAATTTTAAGTTAGTTTGAGCAATATATATTATAAGTTGTTTCAAAAATTTCCGTTGCAGTTTTGAGGTCTAGCCCTAAACGGCAATATAAAATATACAAAAATCTTGCACGATAAATTTAAAGTTAGTTTGAGCGTTACACATCATTGAGACCTAGACCTAAACGGCAATATTAATTCTACAAGAATCTTGGACGATACATTTTAAGCTAGTTTCAGCATCATACAGCTAAAGTTGTTTACAAAATTTCCATTGCATAACAATTCAATCAATTTTCTAGCCAATGCCGTTCGATGAAAACAAATGACTTAAGAAACAAACTTGGCCAAGTCAGTGTATTTCTGATTTTTACGCATTTTTAACGACTTTTACAACTAGAGTTTTTACGGATATATCTATAAAGCATTAAAAGCACACAAAAAATGGCCAGTCTGTAAGCTGCGTGGAGCAGCTTTTGCTTTTTATGGTTGATTTCTATATCATACGACTTTAATGTTTTCGAACTTGAGAATACAGCGGCATCGTTTGCATAAATATTATTGGGATTCGTTGGCGTCTCGGCAACGTTAATGCTTGCAAGAATCGCCACTATTGTCGCCGATCATTAGCGGATGCGGCACAAAAAAATTCTGTACCTTTTATTTGCTTTACTTCTTTGTTTATTTTGAGGCAATACGCTCACTAATTGAGTATACATTAAAACTCAATTTATGAGTAACATTAAGTGCGAGTTTGGGTACAAAAAATAAATATAAATTAAAAAACATATAAGCAGCAAATTGGGGGAAACACGATAGAAGCAAGTGCTGATCAGAAATCTATGGCCAGCACACATACATGCAATGGTCTCTGAGTTGGCCTTGACCATAACACTTATACGTTAACAACCTTCAAAGACACACGCTGATTACCGTTGCCACTGTCTGACTGTCTGTATTATTGATTTATACGCATAAGATCAGCTGCAGAAAACCATTAATAAAGCAGAGAGCAACAATCAAACGATAGAGGGTCTTGAACTCTTTGCAAAGATACTGACATTGAACTACACACAGACAATCTATGCAGCTTCCGAGTATCTCAGAAAGCACAAATTGAACACAAGGAAAAATCTACCTACGACTTGACGAAGATTAAATACCCTAGCAAGTTAATATAAACTAAATAAGTGTGCGACCTAAAAAAACAACCGTCATCTATTTTATAAACACAATAGAAAAATACAGATACGGCAGATACCCTTTGCAAAGGCAATAAAGTTACCCCGCTAATTAACAAATTATATATAATGATCAAAATTACAGCTTGGCCAAATTGCGTACATGTTAATTGAAAGTGAAAGTCTCAACGGAGCCAACAACAATGCCAACAACAGCGAGCCAAAAATCTGGAAACTGTAAAATTACGAGCTTACTTAGACTCTGCAGCAAATAGCTTAAGACCAGAGCAATAATTTATTGTCAATCTAAGAGGAGTAAAAAATCAAATGATATCGGCTTGTCAATGACAACAAACTGTGCTGCAGATTGGCCCAGATCAACACATACAATTAATATGCAAACATTTATGTACACATCATCATTTATGTTTGACCTGAGCTTTAGTCCAAAAAATGCAAAGGCCAAAACGAAAGCGATTAACGCGCAAATTCGATTGAAATGCAAAAATATAAAACTAATTAAAAATGCTATCTTAGGCACATAACATTTTACATACCCTTTCACACTGGAGTCCATGCAGTTTTTGAGGGCTGCATTTTTACAACAATAGTCTTTTGAAATTTATCAAATCGTGAACAAAAACTGATCTTCCTACACGTAACACAATCAACGATAAAATAATAATACCCTCTGCTCGAAAATATAAAATCTATTCCGAATGTATTGAATAACTGTTTATTACAAATCAATTAATTATGCATATATATATATATATATATATATATATATATAAGCTGTAAGCTCTTGGGACAAGCCTCAACTGGCTAATTTATTGCTTATTAACAAATCAATTCGATATTTTTTCCCGTTTTTTTTTGCTTTGAATAAGTTTAATACATATGAATATATGTAAATGACAAAGAAATTTATTGAGGTTGAACTTGAAATTCAAAGAGGTTAGTTATGGGTGAGACTATTTAATTTCTGTTTTAAAACACTAAAAGAACTTTAATAATTGCATCATGAGACAAGCCGAGCCAACGGGTCAAATTAGTATTTATAAATATGCACATGGTTAATGATCTATCGAAATCTTGGGCAACTGGCCTCAATGAATTGAAGTAGAATAGAAGACGGTGGCAAAAAGCAAAATCGTAACTTAGTCGCTTGCTCAAGTAGATACTGCGGGTCAAAGTCAACTCTTAAGCCAAATTTTGCCAGTCATTAGTAAGCAGCACGTTGCCCTCGCTCTCGAGTCCAAGATCAAAACAAACATCTGGCATATAAACTGACAATAGTACCAGCCCAGCCAGCAACTGCGGTCCTCTAATGATTTCGATGTAACGATTTCAGATGCGCATTAAAGTTGCGGCAATAAAGCAGAATAATTAAGAGCATCGTTAGATGAGGAAAAGTCTCCAATGTGTTGTCCAATTGCGATTCCAATAGAATCAAACAGTTGATATACTTTCAGTTGAATAACCTGCGTATTAAGAATGCTAAGTTACCATAAAATATTCAAAAGTATGTTTGAAGCTCATCTAAAATCCCGTGCAGTACAAAAACACATTGATATTGAAGTCTTGTACAATTTATTTTTATCGCATTGTCAAGTTATATTAGCGATAATTATATGCATATAATCGAAATGAGTGCTATAGTATATGCACATGTTCGACTGTTATAAAAAATGAAAAAAATGAACAATTTAAGATAACGATTTGTATTTTGTATTTTCATTGAATCATTAAAACATAACTGTTTGAAAAAAGTCAAAAAAGTATACTCAAATCAATAGTATTTAAGTATATAATAATTACCTGAACTGGCCATAGAAGTTTAATAATTATTATTCCCCTGAGTGCAACGCATTTTTTAATGGTTTCTACTATGCCATTTTACTTCAGATTAAAACAAAAAATGTTGCCAGCCATATATGAACTATTCGAATAAGAATCTAAAATAAAATTATTTAAATAGAAGTTTTTATAAATAATTATATTAATTAAACTACTACAGATTTCATTCGATTATAATAAACGTGGTTTTCTAAGTATTTTATATAATGCATTTTTTTTAATTCTTAATTCCGGGTACACACATCCATGGATTCATCAACAAAATTTTCGTTTTGAACAAAAAATAAAGAAAGTCCAAATGCATGCCAAACCCTAAAATGGCTGCATTGTTAAACTGCGCTAAGTTTGTGATGAGTGTGTTTGTTCTGTGTGTGATAGTGTGTGTGGGTGTGTGTTTTTCTGTTTCTGTGTGTATGGATTTTAATTAATAAGTGCATATGATTGTGTGTGTAACTATAGCGATTATTAATATTTGCTAGAGCTTTTAGAAAGTTATCGGCTCAATTGGCACGGTACATTCGCCCACTGTAACGCGATACATGGCCATTTCGGAGATACCATGATAATGCACAAAGGCAGCGGCAATAACGAGCACATGAAATAGCTGATGCGATTGGAACTGCAATGACGTACATATATTAGTAACATCAAAATCGATATTTACAAGATGGAATAAACTTACCCATATATCAAATTTGCCGGGGAACCAGCGCTCTGGGACGCGCAAAGCATATAATAAAGCGCCGAGTATATAAAGTAAGCCTGCAATAAAAAATTGAAAAACAAATAAGCATTTTTGCTTTATATGCTCGATATATGCTGCTCACCCATTAGTATAAGCCAGCCGAGGCTGGCGCGACTGATCTGACTGAACCACCCCTCCATGATGCTGTAGTGAATGGCCGGAATGACCCCCGATAGGCCAAAGCTCATGAATACGCCAGCACGCAGCGGACGCAAACTCGGCTCCGAGAACTTGTCCCACAGCGACACAATGATGGAGAGGCAGCCGAGTACGCAAACTACAGATAAATATATCACCTTTGGCTGATAGTGACAATAGAAGCCATAGTAAAGCCAAGGCACAAAGGAACCCATTATAAGTAGTGCAATTCCACAATAGTCCAGCCTGGAATTTAAAGGAAAACAATCATATTAAATCAATTGACAGCACATATTGTTATGAACTTACTTAGAAAATAGTCTTCCAACCTCAACAGAATGGCAACTCAGTGTATGAAACGCGAATGAGAATCCTAAACAAATGATGGCGCCAATGAAGAAAGCGCCAAAAACGAGCTTCTCCTGAAATTGTATCTCAACGGTTGGGCGTGATACAAAGTATAGCGCTACGCCAATAAAAGCAATGCAGCCCAGTAGATGCGTCCAGATGTTGCCCGTCTCCGTGTGGACGCGGAATATGGATTTAAAGCATGCCCGGAACGAAGGCAGAGGCGGACGATGTCCACGATGCAAAAAATCATTGTCCTGCAGCCATTTGGGCAAGTTTCTATAGTGACAAACCTTCCAGCTCGCTTCCCAGACCTGCGAAAAGCAAACGATTACAAATCTCACTTTGATTTAGACAAGAAAATAAAGTTCGCATAATAGATTTATAGATGAATCTGAATTAAAAGTTGTCATAGAATGAGTAAATTTATTTTCAATAAAATGGAGCTGTGGTTAATATCAAATTAGGTACACAAATGCTTCATAAACATATTCAAGAAAGAAAATTCATGCTGATTATTGCTTGCGTCGATAGCTTACCTTGCGCACAAATTCTTCAGCCTGCTCGGCGGCATTGTGGGCAAGGGCGCCCAAATCGATTTCGTCGGAGAGAACGCCAGCCTTTAAAACTTCGGTCATCTAAAATAGATATGTAATTATGTTGAATAATCGAGAACAAACACTTTGAACCGCACTTAAAAGATGTATAAGGAACTAACGCTGATCTTGCTTGCTCCAATTTGAATTGAGTCTGCGTCGGGCAATTTCTTATACGATTCCACAGATTCGTGCACATCGTTAACAACAGCATTGAGCTCGACTCGCGACCGTGCCGCCATTGCGCCCCAAATACAATGTGATCCGTATGCGAAAAACAAAAAAGAAACTAAAAATAGTGCACGAAAAGCCAAGTTTTGTGCTTTGAAGCGCTTGGCAATTGCCTACTAAGTTGAACACTTTTTTTTAGTGTGTTGTTTTTTATTTTTGAGGCGGAACAAGAAGCAGGCACAGTTCAATGATAAGATAAGAACATGCGAAACTGACAGACAGACGCAAAATGTTTCTATGCGTCACATCTGTTATTTGTTCGTTTGTCTTTTTACGTCGGCAACAAGTGTCCAAATCTGTCGCATCCGCACACTTAATCCGCGCCTGACCCCGGGAGGCGATATATCAATCCAGATGCACAAATGTTAAAACAAAAAACAAAACAAGAGTTAAAACAAAAAATGCCTGGAATTCTGCATTCAAACACAGCGGAAACAGACTTGTCGATACTGCGCACCTGGCCAAGCATTATCGTCGTGGTCGGGATTTGATAAGCGATCGTGACTTTCAAAAGCCAGTAAACGATTACAAATTAAATGCCTATATTAACGCATGTGTCTGACCTGGACTGGTGAATGCTGATAACCGTTGCCCAATGGGTCAGCGATAAGGCAGCTGATTTTGCACACAGCTGATGGCAGGCAAATTGGCTTACCTCGGCCTCAATGAGCTGAGTGTCCTCTGGCGTTGAGGGCAGCGGACAGCCGACATCGTCCTCCTCGACCAGCTCATCGTCGTCATCCTCAAGCAGATCGAGATCAAGTTCATTGTGGCTAAGCGAATCCTGTGCTCCCCAACCGCGTCGCTTGCGCAATATCATTGTGACCTGCTCGAAAATGTCCTCATCGTCATCATAATTGCCACTGACGCTCTGCGTCACTGGCGTATTCACCATATCCCCCGATGAGGGCACACCCGAATCCAGATCATTGCCATTGGCGCTTGAACTGGCCGCCTCCTTGTCGCTGCCCAAGCTGTTGCGCTGTAACAGATTTGTAGCGGACTCCATCCCAGTTCGAATATCCCAATACGAATGTTCTAAAAAAATATAAATACATATTCATACAGAATTTAAGTCAAGTCGAGCCTGTGAACTAAACATTTACTATCTGAACATATACTATGCATATACAATATATATATATATTTATGTTATATGAAAAATTTGCAATAGTATTACGAGTCGAGAGAGTTGAAGAGTCACGACCACATGGCAGAAATACACCATTATCGAAACCAATCGACCTTTGCTCCCACCGTGTGCATGTCTGACTTTTAAGTTTGAATTTATTGACTTGGCGCCAGGGGAGAAGTGCAAACAACTAACACAACACAAAGCAACAAGCGAGCTTTGAAAGCAATTAAACTTTTATATAAGATCAATAACCGTTTTGTGTCGTCAAGCGCAGCCCCTTGTGAGGGAGTCGGGGATGGGAAAACCAGCAATGAGACTGTTACTGGGACAGACTAAGATGGGGACTCTAACGTTTTTATTCGGGTCACTGGTTTTTTTTTCATTGACTGATAAATAAAACTGGTCTTTAGTGTATAAATGTTATCCACGTTATTTTGTAATGTGCACAGTAAAAATAGTAACTGCGCACAACAAGAGTAGTTTGAATGTTTCAGTATTAGTGAATTTTGTTCTCTTACCTCTAACTTATTCGCAACTCCTGAGCAAAATAGACTCGCGCTGAGTCTAAACGAAAAGTTTTAATAAAAAATTAGGCCAATTTACAACGTTTTTCCTTCTATAATATAACTAACAATGTGACCAAACCTAGAACTACTATTTTTAGTCACTTAGTATACAATGGCTATCGATAGTTTTGCTGCATCAGTAAGCGGACTATTTTTTCTCAAACAGTAGCATTAACCAACCACTTAAAAAATGTGAAATATATTTTGATGGTTAGTACTACTTACAAGGTATTTATATAACTTATATATATGCTTACAAAGTAACAGTTAACTGCTATAAATAGCATATTGACTTATGCGATTAATACTAAATATAGAGATGCCAACTTACTTTAAAAATGCATATAGTATTCTGTGTGATTGCATTTGCGTTTGCGGCCGCACTTATGATAAATACAAAAAAATTGCGTATATATAGCATATATATAGCAAATATTGCATAACAAACGGTGATTTCAAAGTTGATGAAATGCAGCCCAGCCCGCCTGGTGATGGCCAGGCAAATATGTAAATAATTTCGACACAATTATCGATTTTTTAATGTCATGCACTAGTCACTCGAACAGCTGTTAACAACAACCATTCAAAATGAAAAACATGGAAAAATTCCGCATTTTTTAAGCATTTTCGCGCTTTTTTCTATTTCGGCTAGAATATCGCGCCCAGTCGATATAGTACAGTTGTATCCGCAGAGCTATAAATATTGTATTACAGAACGCAGTACACATAACACATACTAAATAGATTTATTTAAATAACTTAAGCAATAACTTTGTTACGTACAGATCAAGTCCTTTCTGGAATAATGGCCACTGCAAAGGAATGCATAAGCAAAGGACAAAAGTTCGCCCAGAACACACAGCCGTATACGGTGCTCATTGAGGGAAACATTGGCAGCGGAAAGACAACATTCTTGAATTACTTTCAAAAATATAAAAACGAAGTTACCTTGATTACGGAGCCAGTGGAAAAGTGGCGCAATGTGAACGGTGTCAATTTGCTCGATAAAATGTACAAGGATCCAAAGAAATGGGCAATGCCCTTTCAGTCATATGTTACACTAACCTTACTCCAGGCCCACACAGCAGCCACAGACAAAAAGTTAAAGATCTTAGAGCGCTCCATTTACAGTGCACGGTGTGTTCAAGGAATTTGAAGCCAAAAAGCCTATTAATATGCTAATTGTATTTTCCTTCAGCTATTGCTTTGTGGAGAATATGTATCGCAATGGTTCCTTGGAGCCGGGCATGTACAACACACTGCAAGAGTGGTTTAAGTTCATCGATGAGGCAATCCACGTACAGGCTGACCTAATTATTTATCTACGCACCTCCCCCGAAGTGGCCTATGAACGGATCAGGGAACGTGCACGGTCCGAGGAGAGCTGTGTGCCACTGAAGTATTTGCAGGAGTTGCACGAACTACACGAGGATTGGCTCATACACCATCGACGACCGCAGCACTGCAAGGTTAGTTGAATATTATAACGGTGGGAAAATATAGAGTAAATGTGATGTTATTGCAGGTTCTTGTGATGGACGCCGATCTGAAACTGGAGGACATTATCAGCGAATATCAGCGCTCTGAGACGAGTATTTTTGATGCAATTTCAAGGGGGCATGAGCATAAGCCGGAAGCGGTGCTGGTGTCGCCCAGCAAATGCTATAGGTCTAGGCCCTAGGCTATAACCGGTTTAAGGACGCATTCAGTTTGCATATGGAAGCAGTTGCTTCGTTTACCCAAAACATTTATAATTACTAAGTTAAAATTCAAGCGAATCTGCCAAACTTAACATTTCCAATTTCGCAATTACTTGAAATTGTTCCAATATAAATTTAGTCTCATCGAAATTTAATTTATGACACCTTCCTATCTAACAATTATAAATTAGACAATCTTTAATATCCGCAAGTTTAAGTTTAAATGGTTAATAAAATTATTCGTGGTTGCCTTTGATCTAAATGCAGCTGTGATAAGAATTCGATTTAATGTAATCTAATTATAATAAAACAAGTCAGAAGTGTTGGTGGCTTTAAAAAAAATTTATTTGTTGTATATACACATTTTAAGTTGTTTTTTCTACACGCACTGCTATTCTTAACATTGCAAAAAATTGCGCTTAAATTAAAAACAATAAAGATAAAGAACATTTGTACCACATGTAGCAGCCTTGCTCTGACTGTAAGTCAATCGATTAAAAGAAATCGATACGTAATTTTTTAAATTCAGTCAAACAACCGATGGTACAATGGAAAACTTATATTTGTATCACATATTTATTTGTATATTTAGAAGTTGGTCTATCGCAAGATATGATACGTTATTCCAACTGGCTATCAAAAGTCGGTTGCTGCTCCACCGCTCGATAAGATGGCCGCCACCCGCCAAGTCATCGTCTCGTAGAGCTGATCGATCTTGTTGACCAGATCCTGGTCACTGTGCCAAATATTGTAGAGAACCGCTCGAAACTCGTAGACATTTTGCGGTGCCGTCGTTTGTATTTTCGGCTCAATAATGGCCATCAGTTGCTCCATCAGATTGAGATCATTGCATTCGGAACAGTCCGGACCCACCAAGGTGTCCAAAAATATTTCCTTCGCCGTTAAGCCATCGTCTCGCCCCTTATTGTCGTCCATGTTGAAGATGTTGCGCCAATCCTGAACGGTCCACTCCTCGTGAGCACGAGCCCATTCCACGCGCCTCTGCTTCACGTATGCACTGAAGAATTTCTGCTTTGGCTGGAGCATATTGGCGCGAATCTCACTGATGCGCCGCTGGAGTGTGCGACGACTGACCTCGATGCCGAACTGGTTGAGCAGCTCCCGCTGCACATCGATGGATGTATAATGGGGATGCTCACTGAGCAGCTGCTCCACCAACTTGCGATTCTCAAACACTTTTGGTCGCCCCACATCCCGTCTGTTGATCACCACCTCATCTTTCGGCGGCAGCGGTCTCAGTTTCAATTTTGGCATTTTAGCATCATCATCCGTCAAGCAGTTCATCACGCTTTCCACATCACACTCGAGCATATGGGCGATTTCCTCATGGGTGTATTTATCCTGCAGCATCTTCACAACTTGGCGCGCATCTGTCTCAAGTACCATCGTCAAATAACTTGTAACTTGTTGGCTGTGCCAAAATCACATAACGATTGCGACGATTCCACACTCACATCCTCTTTATATGCGTTAGCAGGTAAACTTTCTGGCACGGATTAGCGATGCCTTTTTGACGCCCATCTACCTGAAGTTCGTCATAAAGCTGCACTTCGAAGAGAGACCTGAACAATCAAATTTAAGACACTATATTGTGTTGTCTGCTTAGTGCTTGTAGTCTACTTTTCCCAATACGAACTTCTGTCAAGCTAAGCATCCCTTATAACGTACACTTACCTGCCTGTTAAAATTAAATATTATTTTCATTAGGTACAAATACCATCGTGTGCCTTCGGATACACCTCGCTCTCGGCACACGAAGCGGCGAAGCTGAGGGAGAGGATACACCAAAGTAATCAGCTTTTGCATGCAGTTTACTAGCAGTAACTGGTCATATTCAGTTCTTTATTTACGGCTTTTTCTCTGCAGCAGAGTGCACCACGAAGAGAGTGGCTAAAGCAATGCGAACTATTTCGTTCGGCTCTTTTAGATCCCGTTATTAATTCATTAAAAGTCTCTAACTGTTCGCGTTGTCTAATTAAATTAATATTTCCTACGTAATTCGCCGCTGCAATATAAAATAAAATATGTTTGATTTAAATGTTGATATTGTTTTTTTTCCGTACTTGCCATTTAATGTGAAGACGATTTCATGTTTGATGTATTTGTAGAATTACAAAAATAAATGTAAAAAACTTGTACATGTGAGTTTAGTTATTTCTACAATAGGAAATGCATCTCTGCAAAAATCTGTTAAATATTGTTACAAATATATGCCAGTTTTGTCTTTTATATGCATGTATAATGTAAGTATTCTTTTTTATCCATATATACGATGAACCGCTGAACCTTAGAGCCAGTTTATATTGTGCCAAAGGCGGCCTATTTGAACGCATAATATATGCATGAATGTATCTATTTACGTACGTATGTATGTATGTTGGGGGGCTTTTAGCTGGGCACACAGGGTGTATATATAAATAACGGAAGAAAGACAACCCACAAAAGGGGAGGGAGGGGGAGTGAGTGTTAGGAGCTAGTTAGAATTATTAGTTAGCAGTAAGTAAAGATCGATATTGGAATTATACAATTAAATAAATAATGCTAAAAGTATGCCTAATTGGGTTTCTACATTCATGTGCTAGGTTTTGATTGTTTTTCATTGTTTTTTTTTTGTTTTTGTTGAGTTTCCAAGCAGCTAAATCTACTTTTGATGTTTACTTTGTGTGTGTGGTTTGTGTTAGTTTATTTCTTGGTTTTTATGTTGTAGGCGCCCACACCACGCCACGTTAGTCATCCAGATCGATATCTGAATCGTCGGAGTCATAGCCACCGCGTATGGTCTTCTGTGCTCGATTTATGAACGGTTTGCGCTTCACATCTGGCGGCTGCATCAGATCCCCCTTGTACTCGATGGCGCCCGAATGGGCGATGCGCCATTCGAGCATCTCTGTGGAGAAGTCATCACAGTTACCCAGATCGCCAAAGCCAACAATGAAGTCCTTCGTTTTACTATCCTTGACCAGGGCAATTGTGGGCAGCACCTTGATGCGCAGGCGTTGCGTCAAAAACGGCGTCTTTTCCGCATTCACCTTGCAGAATTTGGCCTCAACGTGCTTGGCGGCGAGTATTTTCAGATGCATGTCAACTATGCGACAGCGCTCGGTGCTGTCTCTGTAGAAGTGACATACAATATTCGGTGATTTCTTCGACACCTCGAAGAACTCCTTCTCGTCGGCCAGCTCCGAATAGGTGCCGTGACCCTGAAATGTGTAAGCTCAAATTAAAATTAAATTAATTTAAATATGAGGATAATAGCTACTCACGTTTCTGAGCCACTCTTGCTTTTTATTGTTCAACTTTTTCATTTCCTGTATCCGCTTCTCGCGCAGCGCTTTCAAATCATCCGAGTCTAAGTTGTCCAGCCGATCGAATTCCTGATCCAATTGCTGCTCAATCACCTGCGCAGCAGCAAACAATTGATTTTCCAATATGTGCGCCATGTTGTTTTTGTTGCAGTGGTTGTGTGGGTTGCTGCACTTGTGCGCTGCTTGTGGCAACTAACTTGAATCTATTTTCAATCTTTATTATCTGCTTGTATGCGTTTGTGTGTGTATGTGTGTCTATGTGTGTGTTTGTACGCACTGTGTGTTTAGTTTGTGTGTGTGTCCGGCATAAATGAAAGGCGTATCCAGATGCAGATGCGTCATGTTTTGTTGAAAATTCAGTAAAGTAGCCAATGTTAGTGAGAATGGTCATTTATTTGCATATAAGGCAGCAATAAATCATCTATTTAGCGAGTACTTACATTAATTTCTGACCGATTTCATTGATTTGACGAGTTAATTCTTATAGCTTATTTATTCGTCGTGTGGGATGTCGATTGTACAAGTGAATCGATTAACTTTGAAATCGGTGTGGCCGCAAGCGGCAAGCAGCTAAATACATATGTTTATCTACTCTTACTCTTGTAGTTGTGCTTACAAATTAGACAAATTCTATAAATACTACCTTACACTTTGGTTATGTCGTAGGTATTTATTAGCGACTCATTGCACAGCAATCATAGAAAGGGAAATTTATCGAAAATACGTTCTAAGAAAGTAGTATTTTCTAAGAACATATAAACGATTTTAATTGCTTTTCTTCACTTAAGAGTCATTTATAAAATATTTAATATCTACCTCGATTCAAATATTAAATTGTGAAATATCCCCAATCAGTATTTTTGGTAATATAAAGGGAAATTTGTAATTGTTTTTGCTAAAATTTGGTCACTCTGTTTGACATCGCGCGTTAGTTTTTTAATTTTTTCAGTGGCGTCGGTTGCAAATTTTTATCCGCAGACGCTTTCCGTAACTTAAAAAGGGTTGTTTGTTAAAAAGAGGATCTTTGTGTGCTTAAAACAGCAAAAGGTTTGTTATATTTGCATATACATACATATAAATGTGTGGATTTATTCAATTTTCCGAAGCAGTAGTGCCTTATTCTTTGTGTTGTCTTATTTGTTTTGTGTTGCGGTAGGATTGGTGGTGGAGGCTGTTGTAGGCAAAATGTGCACAGTTGCCGGGCTTCGAAAGCATAATGAAAATACTGCGAATTTTGTGCAATGTAACAAATAGCCAAGAAAAGGCTGCTCACAATATGTGTGTGCTTAATACGATTACAAAAATACGCTCGTGCGTATGCACAAAACATACGCAATTGCATGTACTTTTTTATCGTTACTGCTGCAGCTTCCGCCATTTTTAAAAGAAACGTCAATTGAGCCTGCTGTGGTACAGTGGTGGCAAACCGTAATGGTCACGCGCTATTTCGTTGGGAAATACATTTTAAAAATAAGCCTAGATGTGTATAATATACTAATTAAATTGTTAAATATCTATAATATTCATGTGTGCGTATTGATTTGCGTGGCTATATATAAAAGTCAGTATTTCCATAGGGCTGCTAAAAACGGTGCTCAATATTTTAGCGCGCAGTGTTGCCCGCTTTTTTTTTTTTTTTTATCTATATGCATGCATCGAGTGTGTGTGTGTGTTTCATACATTCACGTGTGTGAGCCTTTATTTGAGAGCCATAAGTGATAAAAATTTAATTTATTAATTAAATTTCATTTCCGATCTGAAGATTCAAACCTTGAACTGCAATAAATGCACATAAACACTCTCATATAGGCAAATAAATTCAAAGTAACGTTGATCTGCTCTCTGATATACACATTCACAGTTTCTATGTGTAGTTGTTGAGTTGATTAAACTCCTAGTGGCTTATAAGCAGCAAGACCAAAACAAAACGTAAAAAAAATAATTACAATGAGGGCTTGGCGCATAACTACATACACTATACATGCATTGTGGGGGATATGTGCATGCTTGTGTATATTTCTGTGCGCTTTGACTGTATGTGTTTTGTGTTTTGACTGTCATCAGTTCTCTCCATCATTGTATATATGGATGTCTGTGTATGTGTGTGTATATCTGAGAAGATTTATTTTTTGCATTTTTGCCTTTTGCACTTTCTCAAAGAAACTCAACAACTCAACTGCTCTCTCTCTCTCTCTCTGTCTCGGTGCATTTTCTAAACAGCTTTTTCCCCTCTATCTTTTGCTCTCGGCAATAGAGAGCCGGTATTGAACTTGCTTCGTGTTTATTTTTTCGCCTCTGCGTTGGGGGCACATCGCTCATTGTGTATATATTTATATTTATATTTATATATTTATATATATATATATATATATATATATATATATATATATATATGTGAGTGTATATATGTATATGTATGCGTGTGTGTGTGTATGTCCAATGACCGTTGCAACTGAAATTTTGTGCCTCTGAATATTATTTCGTTGTCTACTTTTAGTTTTGCTTCCTCTGACCTCTGACAAAACTTATTTTAATTTTACTTTATTCTTTGCGCATTATTGTGTTCATCATACCGACTATGGGCTGTATGCATCTAGAAATTTGTGGGGGGACAATAATAACAAGAGTTATTAAAGTGGAACGCTGCTTCATCCGGGTACCTAAAAAATAAAAAAACAATTTGTCTGCAAACAGATCCCTCATCCGTAACGATCCCTATTATATATATAATAATGTATTTGGAATTCCTGATAACTATTGCGATTTATCCGCGCACAGATGTTGATCATAAAGCGATTTGGTTAGCACAGCTGCCTGCCTGTTGCAGGTAGCATTGCTGCCTGCTCCTTCCTCCATCGTCCAACTCCCTCCACCCTACACCTTCCACCCAGCGTACCTGAAATTCTTATATTTTTCGGCTACTTAAAGTCTGCGCTGAAAATCTTGACTGGCAATATAAGACTTATTCGCGAAACTGTCAACACGTGCACGTGCAAAAAAAAAAAAAACGTTTAGAACGCTAGCGGTTGAGATTTACGTTAAACTATAAAAATAATACACTAATAATAGCGACGACAAACATCAGCGACAAACAGCAGCAGCATCTGTGATTGAAGTGATTGCCAAGCAACAACAAACAGCAGCAACTGCAATTGTCTGTGGTAAGTGGGGCAAAAATGTCGTGCAAAGCCGGTTCTCACGAGGAATGCGGCACAGCATTCAGTGCACTAAACGATGAAGTAAACAAACCACATTACTTGTCCCTGAATAAAACATGAAGCGTGTTTAGATTATCCAGCGTTGTCTTTCTCTTTCTTTCGGTTTCGTTGCACTTGAAGTGTGAATAAATGCGCTTAGGCACAGTGGGATTCCATAAGATTAATACTGCTATTAATACAAATTTTATTTATTTTTTATTTTACAGAACAACGTACCAGAAGTTGAACGACGACAATTCAATTCCATGTTTAGCAAAATGGCTCAACCAAACACTGTGGGAGGAGGTGGCAGCGGCTCAGCAGCCGCTGGTGGACGACGCGTGCCGCTGTCGTTGAGCGGAGCCGGCGCTGGCTCTTCCCTGGCTCGGTTGCAGCAAGCAGCAGCCGCTGGCAGCAATGGACGTTCGAAAAGTCCGCAAAACAAAAAGAATGAGACAAATATCGCCAATAGTGGTCCATTTGTAGTTGTGAAGAAGTCGAGCAGCAACCAGCACCGAATCTCGTCGGCTAGCTCCTCCTCGTCTTCCTCGTCTAAAGATGATGATAAAAAAACTCAAAATGGCGTTAGCAAATCATCCTCACATGGAAATTCAAAGGCTGCACAAAATGGCAGTTCCTCCATTCCCGTCGCCGTCGTCGTCAAGGAGCAACAAAAGTCGAAGGAGAAGCAATCCGCCGAAAAGAAGGAAGCTTCACTCGAAGCAGCAGCCGCAGCTAATGATGAAGCCAAGCCAGCTAAGAAAGAGACAGAAATAACACAGCCAACAGCTGGTGACAACAAGACTGAAGCAGTCGCCGACGCCGACGCCATCGCCGCCGCCGTTTCCGATAATGAATTGAAAAACGAGTCGGCCGTCGTGGTTCCAGCCACATCCAGCACCACACCGACTGCGGAACGCAAATCGTCGCGCAGATCAGCCACACAACAGAAGTCGCCCGGCAAGCCGCAGCCGAGCAAGGAGTCGTCGGTGCAGACGAAACAGGAAACAGAAACATTGCAAGCAGCAGCTGTGGAGGATGTCGAAATGGAGCCACTAACTGTGGATGCCTCGCCCATAAGGAGCGTGGCGAGCAGTGCACAGCCGACGGCCACATCGACACCGGGTCGCAATCTCTTCGGTTTCCAGAGCAGCGTCAGCAAGCAGGCCAACGAGGTGGAGCTTACCTCTCAGCAATCGATCTCGCCAGCAGTTGCCGTAGCGCGCAACTTTTCACAGATAAGCGGACGACGTAGCATACGCCCGGCCGCAATCCAAACACCCGGCCGGATGGGCAATTATCGCTGTTTGAATACCAGCGAGCTGGACACCTCCGGCTTTACGAATACTAGCATGAATGCCACCGTTGGCTCCGAGATACCGAACAGCTCATCGTTCTCGTTCTCTTTCTTTGGACGTGGGCGTAAGCGGGAGCGCACTCCGCCGCCGCTATCGGGCAGTCAGTCGGCCAATGATTTGGCTCAGGATGTGGAGATGTCGCCGCCGAAGCGCGCACGCTTTGAGTTGTTCAGTATGAGCCTGGCATCGCCATTCAGCATGCTGCGCTCGCGCTTCTCCAAAGCCACTATCAGCACACCGTCTTCGCGCAAGCAACTCGATCAGACCCCACCCACTGGCGATGATGAGGAGGATGGCGGCGTTGGCAAGGTGCAGAATGTGTCGGGCATTATCATCCAGGAGGAGGAAGATCAGCTCAACAGATCGGCGAGCAACAACAGCGAGGATGTAACTGTCGCCAAGGAAGCTGGCCTGGAGACGCCCAAAAAGTGTGGAACAACGCCCAAGGAGCAGAATGGCGAACAGAATAAAAAGAAAGTGGGTGACGAGGAGCAAGCCGAGGATGCTGTGGCCAATCTACCCGCCACAGATGGCGAACTGCCTGCCGAAGCCAACAGATCGCGTTGCGCCATAATGTAAGCGATTCGCCGACACGGAATCTTGCTGCAGCAACCTCCATCCCCACCCTTTGCTTCCTCCCCCGAAATATCCATTAGCTGTTAAGATTTATGTCATTAGTTGTTTTTTAACGTTGTGATGATTTGATTCTTTGGTAATTTGTGTTCTTGCGAAAATTACATGTTAAGAGTAAGCAGCAGCAGCTAAACGGGGCCTAAAACAACCAAAGCCATCACGCCATGTACCATCGCTGGCTGCACCTCTTCCTCAATCCGCTGGATTTGGAATTGGAATTGTTAGCCATGCGTTTTTCACATGGATATCCCCCATTTTTTGTGAGTCGTGATTTCTTGCTGCGTAGCTGTGCTTGCCACAAGGCGCAGCTATGCACCAACAAATCTGGCCACGAAAATACTGTCTCAGTACCCACGTACAACATAAGGTACAAACAAACAGATAAACAAAAACAACAATTTAGACATCATACAACTTTATAATATACATAAGACAAAATATGTAGCCATACCTGTGCAAGAATAATAAGATTTATGTATCTCCGAGTCTTTTCCATTTGTACTTGTGAACTCAATTTTCAATAATATATATCTATATATATATATATATAGTTAAAAAATGGCAAAACATTATGTATAATAAATTCGATTATTTTATAAATAAAGATCATTTTAAACAATTGCTTGTTTGATTTTTGAAGTCGTCTACTTGGGAATAAGATTTCTTACTAGGGTGTGTATAAATATTTAACTAACATAAAGATTCAGATATTCAGAGGCAACGTTTCTCTACTAAAATTTTATATTGAAAAACAAATGATATGAAATAAATAATCGCTGCAATAGTATAAAAAACGTGTGCAACTCAAATGAAATACAAATTTCAAGAAGCAACGTGCACATTTTGGGCTGCCAACTTGCGTTAAGGAAGCAACCCTGCAAATTGAATATTATCCAACACTAAAATTAAAAAAATATAAAGACGCGCTGTTTAAATTGTTTCTTTGAAAAACTACTAAATAATATTGAAGTAAGTGCTTATAAAATCAATGCTTATCAAGTGCATTCTTAACACACATCACGTGAGCATGCTGACAACGACGCAAAACTACTAAATTATCCCACCTTGAACTTTGCGCGCGAAAGTAAGTTGGAAAAGCAAAAGCAAAACCAAGATTATAAGAAAATTAAGAATTACAAAAAGAGTGAGTGGAGATAACATGGAACACGCTGATTCGGCGTCTCCGCAAACCGAGTTGCATATCGACTACAAAACGCCCAATAAAACCAGATCAATGATTGAGAACGAGGTGTTGTTGGATAAAATAAATATATTGACAACCAAACCGGAGAATCAATCGCACAATGCAAAGGTAAGTTTACAGTTACATTATAATACGAACCGGAACAGGCACATGCCGTTATTTGGCACACACACTCAAACCCACTTATATTCATGTATACATCTATTAAAGTATAATTGTATTTATCTGTCTGCAGTTGCCGACAATTAGGGATTTTGTCATCATCAAGCCAATTAGTCGTGGAGCCTTTGGCAAGGTGTTCCTCGGCTACAAGCAGAACGATTCGAACAAACTGTTCGCCATCAAGGTGATGCGCAAGTCGGAGATGATCAACAAGAACATGGTCTCCCAGGTGATCACCGAACGCAACGCTTTGGCCTTGTCCCGTTCCCCATTCTGTGTGAATCTTTTCTACTCACTGCAATCGCTGTCTTCCGTTTATCTGGTCATGGAGTATATGGTGGGTGGTGATCTCAAATCCCTGCTGGCCATGTATGGCTACTTTGACGAGGCAACCGCTCGCTTCTACGTGGCCGAGATGGTCATGGCCTTGCAGTATCTGCATCAGCACGGCATTGTACATCGCGACATCAAGCCGGATAACATGCTCATCTCGGCTAGCGGCCATGTGAAACTTACCGATTTTGGCCTGAGCAAAATTGAATTGCGCCGCGATTTGGAGATATCCGATCTCATCAATTGTTCGCCCAATCTCAATGCTCGCACGCCGGGTCAACTGCTGTCGCTGACCTCACATTTATCATTTGGCTCCGAGAAGAAATTGCATGATTTCGGCGTTGTTGGCTGCGCCATGTTGACTACCACTTGCACGGGCACTGGCACCTCCAACTTAATGCAAGCCATGAACAAGCATAGCCTGATCTTGGAATTATCCGACAGCGAAGCAGACACATCCTTCAACGATGCGGAGAAGACGAACGATAGCAAAATCTCTGGAGTCTCTCCATTTTTCTCCGCTGAGGAGGTTAACGTTTCCATCACGCACACCTGCACCACCAACACCAATGTAAGTGCCAATTGATGTGGATCAACTACATAGATTATAGTGATTAACCATTTGCATGTATGTAGCTTGTGGACAGCAGCTCGTCTTCTTATCACACCTGCACATCGGCGGAGATCAGCAAGAGCTCGCCGCCTCCTGAGCCAACCACCGAGGGCGGCGCTCCGGAAACCACAAAGCGACGCGTTGTTTTTGTCCTAGATAGTGTCGGTGTCGATGCCAGTGCGCGGATCAATTGCCAGGTGAGTGCTTAGCTCAGCTCGGGCGAAAAGCAGTCTGCTTTAAATATGCATATACTTTATCCAATCAAAAGGGATGCAAATTGGCAGAGCAGGACAAAAACAAAATGGCTGCTGCTATTGCTATCGATGGTAAACACCAAGTTGCCGCCAAGTTGCCGCAAAATGCAGGTGAAGCCTTGCTTGAGTTTTCCATGGTGCGCCGGCGTTCGCTAGACGAGGTGCGTTAGATCCTCTGTGTGTGTCTGTCTCTGTTTGTTTTGTTTTGTGTATAATTAAAGATTAATGGCGATTGTCTTAAGTCATTCACTTTGGAACTCAATAATGATATACGAGTATGTGATTTAAAATTGGTGTTTGCTTTATGCTTTACTCATTTCAATAGTTCTTTATCTGTTTTCACTTTACTATATATTTACTTACTTTCATCTACGTTTTGATTGGTGTCCAGCAGCGCAATCGTAACTCCAAGCTTCAGGAGGATTCGGGGGTGTCTAGTCGAAAGGGCGATGACAACTCCAGCTGCCATCTGAATTTAAATAGCGAGAGCACCGCCTCCTCCATAGAGAAGAACACGGATAATATGAGTCAGTCCAAGGAGGAATACAGTTGCTCCGACTATTCGCGCAGGTTAATAATTAATAAGTACAGTTCCCACTGCAGCTCGATTTCATGTTGTTCATGTTTATTGTTGCAGCTATAACATGACAAATAACGCCAATGAGCTAAGTGGCATACGCATGAATTCACCATTTCGTAATCTGTCCAAGCACTTCAAGCGACCCGATTTCCTGCGCGGAATGAAGCGTAAAATCAATCTGGTCAATCGGTCGGATAACTTGTCCGGCATGGATACAGATGGCACTGGCAATGCCAGCACCAGCAGTGGTCTAACCCAAGAGATCGAGATACTCAACATTGGCAGCAGTACACCCAAGAAACGCAAGGCACGCTCATCGCCCATACGCGGTGTACTCAAGTTGCGTTCTCTGTCGGATGACGAGATGCCTATGCAGCAACTGCTGGGCTCCGAGGCCAGTGTGGCCAATGTGGTTTTCTCGACGCCAGTGTCGTCACAGAAGCAGCCACGTCGCGATGGCGGCCTGCTCGGTAAGTTGAAGGCTACACGCTTCGCCCTACCCCCATCCATAGATAACAGGAAGCCGGAGCATGCTCTGGCTGTCGAGAAATTGTCCGGTGCTCAGTATCATCTCAAGCTGGCCGACGATCCAACGATGTCACCTATCGATCACGGTGGCGGCAGTGCACCCAAAACGCCCAAAAATACCAACATCAACGTGAATACGCCCTTCCGCACGCCCAAATCTGTGCGACGTGGCGCACGCGTCTCCAACGAACGCATCCTTGGCACACCCGACTATTTGGCACCGGAGCTGCTGCTCAAACTAGGCCATGGCCCGGCCGTCGACTGGTGGGCGCTGGGCGTGTGCTTCTATGAGTTCATGACTGGCATACCGCCCTTCAACGACGAAACGCCTCAGAAAGTATTTGACAACATTCTCAATAAGAGTGAGTATCTTGATTTGTTAGCACAACTTTGAAAAATTGAATATAAATATATTTTTTTTAGATATTGAATGGCCTGAAGGCGATGAGGCATTGTCAGCGCATGCCATGGAGGCTGTGGAGCTGATGCTGACCATGGAGCCCTCGGAGCGCCCGGCCGCCAAAGAGGTGCAGCAGATGCGACAATTCGCCGGCATCGATTGGGAGAATATTGGGCATATGGAGCCACCGTTTGTGCCCACACCAGACAATCCCACCGATACTGGCTACTTTGAGGCGCGCAACAACTTGCAGCATCTGCAGTTATCCAATTTTGCATTGGATGACTAAACGATTTTCATTATTTCCTAGTTTTGTAAGTTAAGTGTTATTTATATGTTCTTTTTGTAGCAAATTGTACTTGTCAGGTTTTTAGGTATATTTTTTCTTTTAATATGTATGTTTCGTTGTTATCTTTCGGTTGGATCAATATTTATACATGTATGTCTGAATTCTAACTATAGCGATATTAAATATTTCGCTCAATTCCGGCTTTGTTACTGCCATTACGCTTAAGCCAATAACTCCAAGTATGCACGCTATAAACTGATTTTAAAATTGTTGTCTTTAAGATTAAGTAAGCATTTAAGTTTTGCATTTCAATACAAATGATACTAAATTATAAACAACTCAAATATATTGCTTGCAATTTCCAAAAAACAGCAAAAAAATCACTTTATTTTACTCTTAAATGTGCTGTGTAAATATGTGTTTTGTGTATATATATAAAGGTATATATCGATTTTTGTAATCCGTAGAAAAATACCACAATTGGCTGTTGCCTCAATCATATCAAGCTTTAATCTTTAAGTTTAAAATCGCAGTCCCACACCTCCGGAATGGTCGTTAGATAGCTCTCCTCATAGAACACATCGATCAGGCGACAGATCATGTGGGGAACAGCCCGCAAATCAGGCATTGGCTGCGCCTTGAGAATGCTTACGGCCCGGACGATCAGCGGCTTGACATCCGTGAATTTTTTGTTGGCCAAGAGCATGGCCAACTCCCGCATGGCGCTCTCGTACTCCTCACAAGGCAGCCGCATCTCACGGCTGGCTGAGAACAGCGAATAGATTATGCATGCCAGACACCGGGTGAGCACCTTGCGTCTGCAGCAATTATTAATAATTAATAGTTGTCTATAATTATAATATGTATTGTAAGATTGAGCCACATTACCTATTTGTGATGCTCTTCGCCTTGAGGCCAATGGCGCCCAGCAAACCATCGCTCCAGCCCTCTGCCTTTGTCGAGGCTAATTGAAGGTGGCGCGCCAGCATACAGAGCGCCTTCTTCACATGCTCCGATTCCTGAAGCAGCCTACAGCCGCGTGAGATTATCAGACCCCAGACGAGCGCCATGCGCGGTTCCGTTTGAGGATTGGTTTTTAGATTTTCCAACAACTGCGTCAGATCCTGCAGAAAGGTCACCTTTTCACCAGCCGATTCAATCTCTTCCAGTTTGTACAGCACAAAGATGTGCAGTGAAAAGAAATAACCACCACTCATGACTGGCATCAGTTCCAGTTTCGGCAGCGACATCTGCAGCGCCTCGAACAGTCCGCGCCAGCTAGGTGTGTGCCAAGGTGCGTTTGTCGACGAAGTGCGAAAATAGCACTCAATGCTCGACTCCAGCAGTGTGTAGATGCAGGAAATGTAGGTGTTCAGATGCCCAATGGCTGGCAGAGCGGCGCACATAACCAGATTGGCGGGAGAACACTGCTGCTGCCAGCGCACCAGAGTCTCGATGTGCAGGCTGAAAGTGAGGATTACATAATATTATAATGTAATATTCCAAGCTGGAAGTGACAAAGACTCTATAAAATTCTGATCGGCAGACTTAATTTGAAAACATAAGAAAAACTGGATCTGCTTGCTTCAAATCCAACACAATGGTTGCTGCCAATCACAGATGTGCCTTTCACATACAAAGCTTAAATTATATATGCCATCTGTCTGATCTTACTTGGAGATCTCCTCGCTTTGCGTCTGCGTGGGCGCGACTAGCTCGAGCATTAGATTGAGTGCCTCGCGACGCTGCTCCTCCAGCGTGCGCTGCGCACTGCTGCCGCTTATTGCCTGGTCAATGGATTGCAGTAGCTTTAGGAAGGCATTGGTAAAGGCGCGTTCACCCTCCTTGGTGGCCAGGAGCTTTTTTAGCTTGGCGCCACAGGTGCGCTGCATGCAGACCATGGAGCGTGTGTACAACATTCGCTTGGCCGTTGCCTGTATGACCACGCCTTGGGTGCTGCTCTCAGGCAGCATGGCGCAGGCCACGCGAAGCAGACTGCAATAAATGATGATGCAATAATCAAATGGTTTTGATTTGCTGGGATCATTTAGAGGCTTACTCGAGAACGGCGCGATCAGCGTAATTGGTCTCAGTGGGTAGCTGCAGCACAATGGCGGGCTCCACATTAGTCACGAACCACTTGAGCAACTGCTCCATTTCGGTGTACTCGACGAGATGCCACGGCTGCTTGATGGCATCCTCGAGTATCTTGCTCGTATTGGGATGCATGTGAATGTTCGGTTCGAATGCCAGTTTTATAAAGATGGCAAATAGATTCGAGAGAACGGCCACCGGCTGTGGCATCTGTGTGAACCATGCGCTCCAATCGATTCGGATGAAGATGTGACCGAGCATCGCATGCGACTCGGGTATAAAGCGCTGCAAGCTCTTATACAGCAGCTCAATGTGCGTCGCTGGCGGCAGGAAGCGCTCCCATGGCAGCTGGGCCAGTCCCTCGTGTATGGGCGCCAACACATGCCCCGCCACATTGAGTTGGGCAAAGTGATGTATATACCAGGCAAACACGTGCTCCAGTATTTTATTTGATGCCGGCAGATACTGCACCACCTGCACAATATTGCCAATAAAAGATCTGATCATGAGCTTGCTGGTGTCCACGTGCGGCTCACTCCAAGGCAACAGAATCTTGCCCTGATTTGGATTAAGTTGACGTATCCAGTGTGCAGCAGCACCTGCCTCCTGCTCCGTGTAAGGGATGAGCCAGGGCGCATACGTCTCCACTATTGAGCCGAAGACAATATCACTGACTGGTTAAAAAAAAGAAAAAAAAGCAGAAAAACATTTGGTAAACGTTTATAATATTTACTTTACAAATGACTCACTTTGATCGGCAAGCAGCTCCTGGTAGCTGAAAATGGCTGTTGCCAGCAGTACGTGTCCAAAGCAGCTAAACCACATGACCAGCGGCGAGCAGTAATCCTTGTGCTTTGGATACAGCCCATGGAGGCCATGATGGAGTCGCTCCTTTTGAAAGTGACGGGCAAACAGCAACAATGTGTCCGTTGCCGCCTTCATCGTAAACAGTTTTTGGCGACGAGCATAGTCAAAGCACAACTCGTGTACTTGCACCTCAGTGGTGGTTAGTGTCAGTGGAGCGCTGCCCGTGGGCATAAGTAAGGCATTAAGCAGATCGAGCAGCACCAGTGGCATTAGCTTTTGATCCGAAATGCGATCGAGTACCATCTGCATAACTTCACCGTAATGCTGTGGAAAGTCGTACGTGAAGATGTGCACTAAATGGCGACGGAATTGATCCTGTAAGATGCTGCTGTGTGGCTGTGACCATGATTCGAGCCCTTGCAGCACTAGCAACAAACATCGATTGATATCGCTGAGCTTAGGCTGAAACGTCTCCAGCCAGCTGGGCAGATCGAACTTGGAGAGCAGCACAAATAGAATATTGGTATCGCAACGCTTCAAATGTGAATCGATAAGGAACTCATACATGTCCAGGAAATGATCGGCACTGGTGCGACAAGGTACAAACACGCCGGCAAGCACCTCTACAAGATCACCGCGTCGCAGCGCCAGACGAAGAATATTCAATCCCTGTTCCAATTGATCGGCTTGCATGAAGACCTGTTTGAGAATAATAATTTATTATTAATGAATTTTATTAATATTTGAATAATACTCACGCCCAGTTCGCCCAATATCTGAGAGTAGAAATCGTGTGTGGGCTGAAACTTCTTTGTCGTATCGTTCATGTTGTCAACAACATGATAAAAGAAATTGACGCCGATAGATATTACTTTTTGATTGGATTGCTCTTGCAGCAGATGTTGTATGTAGCCGCCCAGTTCCTGGATGGCCTGTGCAAAGCCATCCACATTTAGGGCCAACATTTCGTCAACAATCTTCTTGTGACGCTCTCGATTCTTTTCCTGCTGGCGGGCTATTTGCGGATTGGGACTTATGGTTTCCTTCTCTAGCTTGATTTGAGCTGGTTTCACGCACTTTCGATTGCATTCCTTGATTATTGTCTCTTCATATGCAGTCATCGCATACGATGCTGGCACTCGTTCCAAATAGTCCAAGTTCAGAGAATTCACCTCCGATGTATTGTAGTGGAATTTACTGGAATTATATTGAATAGTTAAAGATAATGATAATAGTTAAAGATAATTGTATGTGACAAGTCAATGAATCTTACTTGGCGGTACTGTTCAGCGTTTGGATGCGACACTTTAGCTCGGACAGCGTATTGTTATCGATGGGTCGCTTCTCAACTTGGTCCGGGCGACTGTAGGTTGGTGGTGGCAGGCGTTTGTCATATGTGGACAGATGCATTTTGAGGCGCTGGACAGGTGGCAGACGTGGCTTGGGTTGCAGCGGAGTACGCAATTGCTTATTGGTGTGCAGCAGTCGATAAATCTTGGCAGACCATTGATCCGCCTGGTGACGCTGCTCCTTGCGCAGGTCAGCGGGACTGAGAAACTCTGTCCAGTGGGCGACGTGGCCGTTGAACAACTCCCGTAACTTTTCGCAATTGTACTGTGCCGGCAAATGGCCGGAATCGCTGGAGAACGTGTTGATCTGTGTGTCCTCCAGCCAGAGGGCACAGCTCTGCATCAGTTTGTTGCAACTGCGATACATGTGTGCCGCGGCATCGTCATTGGCACGCTTCTTGGCAATAGCAGCATAATAGACTTCTGCCGATTTCAGCTGTGCCTTTATTGACTTCATCAGCGTCACGTTGCCGTCGTAGAACTTTTGGGCGACTCCAAAGTTTTGATTGATATTGGGGCCATCGTCATCCGTCGGCAAGCGCCACAAATAGAGCTCGAAGAATTTCTGACAGACGATCGGGAAGAGAGCGTGTGTTGTGTCCATGCCGGCCAGGAGCTGAGCGTATTTGTAGATAACCAATTGTTGGGCGGGAAAAGCGTTCGTCTTGCTGAGCGACAAAGTTTTCTTAAGTGCCACATCCACTGACTGATCCGTAAGCTGACGCAACAGCTCTGGCCAAAAGCGTGTATCCTGAAGTCGAAATTCAATTTCGAGCAGCACAAGATTCAGCCAGCAATTCTGCGGCGATAGCACAGGAATACGCATGTTGACCTGCCCTCCAAACAGGGCTTTCAATCCGGACGACTTTGGCGGCATCTTCCAGTCGTTGCAGTCCTACGAAGTAAAACTTGTTTAGTATTCAATAACTCAGTGATTAGTGATTGTCGTCGTACCTTGTAGTAGTTATAAAAGAATTCGATTGCCTGCACGCGACAGTCGGCAAACTGGTAGGCAATACGCAGCATCTTGTCTAGAAGGTAGAGCACGTGCGTATTCTGGGCCCAGCCCGGTAGCATAGTGAAGCAATTGAGCCATACATTCATGAGATTTAGCGGAGAGCACAGCCCGTAGCTGAAGAAGAACAAGGACAAAACAAGCATAATTGTTATTTGTATGGGAAAGCATTGAAAATAATTATAAATATCAAGGTGCCAGCATATCTTTAAAAAAACTGCAATATTTTGCAGATAAAGAAGCAACTTTTAATTTATGACTGTCTCTGAAGCAAAATAAAGCAGTTCTTCATGCAATGACCTAATTTTCTACATATTAATCCTATACAAAATTACGGATTTATTGACAGATTCATTGAGATAAACAAAACAAACTCTATTTAGCCATATGTCTGCACCAGATATAAAAACTGTTATGCATTCCAAGTTTTATGATTAATGACTTGCCTGGTGTAGGACACAATTTGATGGTGCAACATATTGTCCAGCAATTCAAGAATAGGACCAATTGAATTGGCGTATACCATATCTTTGGCCAGCTTCAGGTAAGTTCTGTCCGCATTGAGCAGTGCTATGAGCAGTTTTTGGAAGCTGTAAGAAATATTGGAATAATCAAATAGTATATATTGATAATTTTATTAGGCTTACCTCTCACAGTTGGCCAGCGTGTCGGGCGTTTCAAGGAACAGTGGCACAATAAGCTCCAGACTTCGTATGACGGCCGCATGGCGATGGTCGCCAATCAGCTGGTGGAGCAACTCGAAGCCATGCTGGCATATTAGCGGAATCGAATGGCCATGCAAACTGACCAGGACGGCAGCATAGAGTGCTAAGGGACGTTGCTCGTTGACGCCCTGGCTGATCATGTCCAAGCGTTCCATGTCCGGCACAAAGAGCAACGGCTCTGTGGGATGCTGGAGAGTGCGTTTGACCGACTCCACACTTTGATCCATGAGGTGCAGACGCAGCATTGAGATCATACGCCAACACCAGTTGGTAAATTGTTCTCGATTGGACTGCGTGGAGTCGATAAGAGAGGACACCTGACGCACGCTCTCCGAGATGCCCGAGACACCGATTACCTCCGACGCATGCTTGGTGATTGCTTCAGTGACCAGACAAGCCATGCGGACGTGAATATTGTGCGGCAGATAGAGACGACCCTCTTCATCGAAGCCCCAGTTGAGATGGCCAATGATTAGACGCGCCAGTTGATTCTGTGTCGACTGGTAATCGAAGTGAAGCAACCAGCTCGACAGCAGCTCAAAGCTGTCCATACTCGGATGCCAGCTCTCCAGTGGCAGCGCCTTAAATAGATACGCCGCCTGCTCAATTTCACTGAAGCGCGTCTTCAGCTGCAGCAGTAGACAGTCCAAGAGACCCTCATAGACCAGCGTTATGTTTACCAACGTATCCCTTGCAGCCTTATAGCAAAACTCTCGCGTGGCTTGATGCAGAAATCCGATCTGCGAAAATATGGAAATGTTTTAGCAAGTCATTTATAGGACAGATATCGTTCTTAGAATGATATCTTCAATCTTGTATAGTTCCCAGTTGTACAGAAATAAATAAAATAAAGTCACCTGAAAGATGGTCAAACAAATGATGCGAATAATTTGCCAATCTTTGGTCGGATCGCGTCCGTTGGCCATCTCGAAGAAGGCCTGCAGCAGATAGTACATATCCTCGGCGGATACATCAGCATTGGCCAAATCAAACTTGCCCCAGAAGTCCGTATGAAATGCCTCCTCCGGATCAGCGGATAGCTGTGTGCTGAAGTCACTGGGAAAGCCAACGTTTAGATAATAGAACAGATGCCAAATGATATCAGCATTTAGCGTGGAATAAGGCAGCGTTGAAAAGTACTGCCATGTGCCTAAATTACGAGAGCTATAAATATATCTGCAGGCTCGAATGAGCAATGCCTGCATTTCCAATTCGATACGTTCACACAGCTCCGGCGACTTGTGCAAATTGTTGTTGCTGCAAATGGTGATTTAAATTTAGTTTAATACATTCGTTCGTTGTGCGAGCACAACTCACCAGAAGAGTTCGTAATAATCGAAGCCATATTGTAGGCAGTGGCGCACAAGGCGTCCCAGACGCTTGGCCAGCTGCTTGTACCGCTCGTTGTTGTAGGTCAACATGCCCTCTCCCAGCGTCTCCACTAATTGGGCGAAAAATACAACAACGGTGAGCATCTGCTGAGGTGTAATCATGTCCGGTTCAATGATGTAGTCTTCGAGGAATTTTTCAATGCACATTGCAGAGCTGAAAATTGAAAGCAACACAAATCTTTGACGTCTCTCTCGATCCACCTTTGTGTGTAACAACTTACGTGAAGAGCTTATCGAAGGGTAGCTGATTGAGCAGTGCTATCAAATCAGTCTCCTTGAGGCCAACATATTCGCCTGTTGGCGTCAGTGTATCTTCCCCATCCGAGTCCAACATCGTCCAGCCCTCACCGCCACCTGTGGGTCCGGCGAGCTCCTTTTGGGCTTGCACCTGACTCTTGAGGTACTCGCTGCGCTTTTTAATGGGCAACAGTAGAATTTGCAGCACGGCCAAGCAGTGATTGACTTCTGGTGAATTCAGTGGCAGCGGCAGCTCATTGGGTTGCGAGCCCTTGGCCATTGTCTGCGACTGTGCCTGGGCTACCATGCCCGGCAGCTGTAAAAACTCCGCCGCCCAGGCACCGACGCCATTGGGGCAACGCAAGATGTTGAAGAGCAGAAACCAATGATCCTCCTTGGTGGCCAGCAGCAGCTGCATTGCAATAAGTTTGCGAAGCCACAGCTTGAGATCGGCATCAAAATCCTAAAGCAAAGACTCGTTTAGTGGATATTCAATGGATTGGAAGTACAGTGGACACTCGCAAATTAGAAAGCTTCGAAATGATAAATATGAGTCGAAGATTTAAAATGAGACAAGCTGTTTGCATTCAGAATTGAAAAAATAATACCGCATTTGGGCTGGGTCGTCGCGCAAAGCTGAAGAGAATGGAGATGGCGCGCCTAAGTTTGGCGACACAATCCAGAGCCGGTGCCTGCAACTGGCTGTGCAGCACAACAGATGCCTGCACATCGACACCTGGATAAGCGAGTAGATCATTGATGATTGCATCGATTCGGACTTTGGTTATCTTTGCCTCAACCAGATTGGTGGTATACGCGTGGCACACCAGATCATAATGAACGGTTAAATACTTGTTCACGTATTCCAGCATAGTGCGATTAAGCTTAATGCATCTAGAAGAGCAAAGATTGTGATTATGGATTTGTTTTAATCGAGAGCTGCTCTTGTTGCTTCACTCACTCGTAAGTTGTGGTCTCTCTGACGACGGTGCCGTCGCCGCAGGTGCCGCTGAAGGTGCGACTCACGTTCTCCCGCTTCCACAGCTTCTGCTCTGTTTCGCGGCTCATTCGGTAATTGCTATGAATGTCCTGCAAATTGGATGTGAGTTTGGCCTGTAGATTAAAATACTCCTGGAGTGCCAGATAGAGCGGATCCGTTTCACTCGATTCGAGCAGTGTGCTCATGAGAAACTCCAATTCGAATTGCTTGACCAGTTCCAAGTCGGTGCACTGATAGACCTGCTTTAGCTGATCGCTGCTAAACGGTTTCAAGTGACTGCTGGCGAGCGCAAAGCCGGGCGAGCTCACCCGCGTCCGCTGCTTGTAGACAATCTTTGTCTTCTGCTCCTCGGCGAGGGCATTGCTTATGCGTATTGGCTGCAGATTGGGATATTGCACAAGGGGAACACTGCTTGCCGGCGCACATGGAGCACTGGGCGCTGTCTCCTCCAACTCCGGCTCCTCCTTGACTTCTGCTGTTGTCGTTGTTGTTGCTTCTGCAAGTTGATCGGTTTGTATGTCATTTGATATGCAGCAGTCGTGGCTGATGATGGTATTGGCTTTGTGGGTGCTACTGCTGGCCTTGGCGGCCACACGCTCGAACTCTTCCAGTAGTGACGCATTCTCCAATTGTCTTTGTTCGTTCTCACAACTTGTTGATAACAGCTCATCGTTTTCTTCTTCTTCTTGTTCGATATGTCGGTGTTCGTTCGACGTCCTTTGCTTTTTTGTTTTCTGCACGTAGTTGTTGCATTAATATTTCTTATTATTATTATTTACTTTCTGATACATACTTCTTTTTTTGGCTTAGCCAAAGTAGCCATTTTTATTATCGGCTACCGTTTGTTGGTTTAACTTCTCCTGTGAATGCGTTTTACGTGCTTTGCATTTCGTTGCACCGCTTACAATAAAACCCCCTATATAAAAGTGCTGATTAGTGTTAGTGATGAGCAGCAGCATGTTCTAACTAGATATCACAATATAATGCAATATGCACATTGCATTTCCAATTGTTTGAAATTAAATAATTTCATATTTGTTTTTCTTTTGTGTTATTGTTTTGATTACCTTTCAGCTTGTTTTTTCTTCTAATATTCTACGAATTTAGCTTTTATCGAGCCAGTGAACTTTAACCAGCACTGTTGTCGATCAGCTGTTCACGAAATGGACAATTGACAAACAGCTGAGCTTCGACTCGATGGGCAGCACTGTATTAGTTACAGTGTGGCAGCACTTTTAGGAAATGGCTGTTGACTTTTGACGAGGCTTTTGAAATTGAAAAATATAACGGTATTTAAATTCCTAGCGATGAAACTTTAAGCGATTTATAGATTACTTAAGTGATTGTTGTTCGACTAGATTTAAAAACAAATTTATTCAGATTATATTTTAGATTTGATATAATTCAGTATCGAGTTATTTCCATATTAACCTGGAAACTAAAATGTATCATTCTCCAGACTTTGGTAGTATTAAATAAATGCATTTGATTTTAATTTAAATACATTTGTCTTATTTATTGCACGAATATATAGATAATGATAAAATTAAAAATTCTGGTATTGTTTTTGCTTACATATATATAAGTACATAAACATTAAATAGCTTTCTCTACACAACGCTCAAAAATTAATATTGCAATAGGCGTAAATGTATACTCTTGTACATAAATCACAGCATCTTTATCGACTTTGATACACTGAAGGTGTAGGACTGACTTAATTAGTTTACATGATGCCTTAGCTTACGACAATCTACAGACTAACTCTATAAATTACTTATTATTATCCATTGATTTATGCAGCATATGCAGAGGGTTTCGTACATTGCCTCACAATAATGTCGCCTTGGGGTTGAGCTGTCGATAGGTGCCCATCTCTCCCGATGGCACAGTGTCCATCTGTATCCTACTGGTATCGCAAATCGAGCTGCGCTGCTCCCGCCCATTGTCAGTGCTGGAGCCATCCGTAAATATCACGGCAATGGGATTCCTCTTCTCCTTTGCGGCGCGCAAATTTGTCTCGTTGGCATCGAAGGCATGATTAATTTTCTCCTCTTTGCATGTTGTCGTTGCCGATGAATTGCTACTACTGCGCCTATTTAGACCCGATTCCTCCTCGTGCTTAATGTAGTAGGGTTTGGGCACATTCAGGCGTTCGTAGCACCGGAAGATAAGCGGATGCAACAGCTTGGCGTCGTACTCATCATCTGCATGCTGGGTGAAGCAACTGATCAGTGTCCCGATGAGAACCGTCAGCATTGTGCCAATCAAACTATAGTACATAAAGCTGATCGAATAAAATGTATCCAAAGTTGACCTAAAATGAGAAGAGCAGAAGTTAAAAACCAACCGTACAAGGATAATATATATTTATCAAGATCGGGTAAGGAATAGTTATTCTTACCGCTCATTAGCAATCCTGGGCGACGGATCTAAGAATGTTTGATTGTCAACATCGATCGGTGTGTGCTTCAATAGCCAAGGCAGCTCATCGATTCCACTGCTTGGCTTGGCAATTGATCGCGAGAAGGTGCTGTTGGAGCAACCCTTAGAATGGATTCAATGTGATTATTTGGACAACTTGCTTCAGCTTCTTTCAGCTACTTACATCTGTTGTGGTGGGCAGCATTGTGGAGGGCTTGTCAATGGTCATGCTACCGCCAATGATCCAGAGCACGAAAGCGCAAGCAGTGATCATGCCGGCGGATGTGCCTTTCCAGTTGGCCACGGGCACCATCATGGCCAAAATGAAGCAGCCCAGCAGCGGCCCAGATGTGGCCGAGAAAACGAGCAGCGACGATTCAATGACGCCGGAGAGCAGACCGACTCCAAAGGCCACACCCATAATAATCAGACCGCAAACAATGGTCACAATTTTAATAATTCTCAATTGCTGGGTATCGGTTAAGCCCTTGAATCGGGGCAACTGCGACAGGAAATCCTCCCAGAAAACGGTGGACAGAGAATTTAGATTGGAGACCATCATGCTAGATTAATACCCAAAGATTAGCTTTGCGCTCATATATGCAATGATGTAAGTGACTTACCAGAGTGCACCATTGAATAGTGTGGCCATGAAGATGCCCACAAAGCCGGGCACAAAGCCCAGCTGATCCTCCACGAAGAATGGTAAAATCTCATCGGGCTTTCTGATGTAGCCCTCAGCATAAGGGTCACAGTTGACGTACGTGGAGTAAATGACCATGCCCGACATCCAAGAGAGTGCAAAGAACACGAAAACAATAGGCAAGTTGCTCAGCATGACCCTAAAAAAGTGAATGGACAATAATAAATAATACGAGTGAAATATCGATAGACTATCAGAAACAGGTAATCAAAATTTGAAACATGAAAATTTTATTAAAATAGTGAAATTCTTACTTTCGCACCTCCTTTAACGACTTGAGACTGACGTAGCGCTGCATAAAGTTCTGCTGGCAGCCAATCTGTGAGAGCGACATAAACAGCTGCCCCAGCCAGGCAGAGGTGGTATCCACGCGCACCGTAAAATCGCCGGTAAAGTTCCAAAAATTTAAGCGTCCTATGCGAAATGAGAGTGAAAGTGAACAGTGAACAATAGAAAAACAAGTGCGTATTGTTTGGAGTGCAGTTGCAGTCGTCTTGGCAAATATGTATAAATGTCGGTTTTTTGTGTGTTTAATGGCATCGTCACATGGCTCGATTCCCAGTGCTCGGCAATTGTCAGTCAGTATTACAGCCAGGCAGACTCCAAGTTGAAGCTCAAGCTGAAGCTGAAGTGACAAAATGCGCCGCCGTCAGACATTTATTACTGTCGTCACGGAACTCATCCCAAGTAGCTGTGGTGATGGTGCTGCTGCTGCTGTTTTATATGCCACTTTTATCATCATCATTTATGTGCATAATGAGCCGACGCAACGGCTACAACAGCAGCAATAACAACAACAACAGCAACAGCAACATCAAAAGCAGCAGCAGCAGCAGCAACAACAGCAACCCAAAATGGATGCCATTTTAATAGTCATCATTCGTCAGCATAAATATGAAACTGGCACACACATACACAAAGCACACCCACAAGCACACACACAGTACACACACACATATGTTATTTGACAGGACACGCTAATAAGCTGCCATGATCAATCGAAGCCAATCTCCTGGCCGAACCTTCCAAAATGATTGCCTACCATTGTCACGGTTCAGCTGGTAAACGTTCTTTGGCCCGCCGCTGGAGATGGTACCCTTAATGCAGACCGCAATGGTTACCAGCAGAATGGTTACAGTTTGGATGACGTCCGCATTAATGGCCGCTTTAAGTCCGCCCTAAAAACAAATGAAGGATATCAAACAATGGCCGGCCCCTAGATGGAACTACTTTTACACTTAGAAAAATATGTTGATCAGATAGCGAACACTCTCTTCGTCTTGTAAGATTGAAATTCTCAAATGACAGACTTTCTTGGAATTAGTTACACAACAGATTCAAGTGAATCATAAATCAAGAACTCGATTACTTTGAATAAGTACTTAAATCAATCCTGATTTCATCTTAAAAGAGAGACGTTCATTTTCTCTAAATGCACTTACTTACCATAATGGTGAAGAATATGCAAATGGCCGACAGGCCAACAATGGAGGCCCAATAGGGTATACCAATGACCGCGGATAGTGCCACACTGGGCGTATAGACTGTGATGCCCAGGTTACAGATTTGCCGCACGATGTATGTGGCAGAGGCGAGGCAGCGAACGGTGCGACTCTTGAATCTGAAATTGAGTAACGAAGGGTTTGGTGACAGGTGAGTACAATGTGCTTAGTGGTTTTGCCGGCTCGATTTACGGCATTAATTAAGAAACATGAACAAAAACAGGAACGGAAACGGGTTCGGGTATGGGAAGATGAAGTGGCTGAGGAGAGGTGAAGGAGGAACTGGCCCGATGCCCGGCCGGCTCCTCATTTATTTACTTTTATTAGCTGCGTTTATTAAAGTTTTAATGGGTTTGCCCTTTTTATGCGCGCGCACTTCTCTCTTTTTTTTTATGATTTACTGCAGCTGTAAAATGAGGGCGTTTACAATAAGTGGGCGATGGCATTCATAAGGCGTGGCAACTGCAGCTCAAATTACTGCCGTGCCACCAATTTACGACAGCTGAGTAAGAGGCAAAAAAACAAAGAAAAAAAATAAAACAAAAAGGCACAAAAATGGAGCGAGCCGGATTCTAACAGCGAATGCCAACAAAATTGGCAAGTTCGTAACTCGTTTTGATTCTTTTTATAGTTGTGTCGGCCTTTTTATGAGGCTCCCTCGTCTGGGCCGGAAGGCAGGCAAGCACATGGGATATAAAAATTTGTGTGTTAATTTGATGTAAAATGCGCGACAAGGCGCCAAGTGCCCCAAAGAGGTATCCAGCTTCAGCTCCTTAATCGCTTAGAATGCGCTCGTCGCTCGGGTAATCAACTTGTTGGTGTCATATCCATGAGTGGCCCTATTGAAGAGATTTATAGCGACCAGCTGGGCTGCAAGTGTGCCAATGGGTTAAACTTGAATTTATCGAATTGAGTTTGTCCTTCAAGTCCTTGAATTTAAAATTTTATATAAATAAAAAATCTGTAGTCGATTTTTATATCGCTAATATAAATCTTTTTCTAGTCTAACTATTCTAAATGGTTAAAAGGCATCTTTAAATGTTTATTAGTATAATTAAAGTTTTTAGTTTCATATCGATTTTTAAAGACTAAGTCACTGGGCTTAAGGAGAAATATGATTTTAAATGCGACCTTGCCTTGACAATTGTAGAAACATTTCCATTTAATAACACATGGATTTAAGAATGATGGCGCAAATGCAATCTGCTTAATGGTGAGCATTTGCCACCATTTGTGCGTGCGATTAGCAGTCTCCGCATAAGTGCTTAAGATATAGCTGGCAATTGGGGACTAAGTAGCGCAATTAAGGCTTCACCTCTGAATTGCATGCATACTACACACATACACATGTATATGTGAATGTGCACATAGAAATGTATATATATATATATATATATATGGAATGTATGTATAACTAAGCTGACTGTATAATCCACTGTTGGCTTTATTGATGGTTCACTAAATGATTAATAGCCACCTTCGAATACATATTTATTAGCCAGTGTTGTCATCAAGCTCCGGCTTATATATGCTCAGACATAAGTATGAATGATTGAGGGGCGAGTTGTGCACCATGGCAGAACCCCAGGACAACCATCAGCAAGTCATTAAAAAGCGATATTAAAACCAAAAGAAAAATAAAGTGTCATATTGTTATAAGTGGGTGTGTGTGTGTGTGGAGAAAGGATATGTCAATCAATAAACAAACATCAATCGGACACGGTTCCCCGTTACCCCACTACAAAGCACCCACTATTCCCTCAGCGAGCTCTTGTATTTGTTGAAGCATTATGGGCGCTTAATTGCACATTCTGCCCGTTTGTAAATTCACTGCTCTCATGGGCTTAAGCGGCTTACATACTCGACAGCGTGTACAACATGTCGCATGCGTTATGCGTTATATATATTTTAATTATGACAGTGCTGACCTAGTTAACTACAAGTGCATGTGGTTTGTGCGGGCGAGCAAATGAGCGAATGTGTGTCTGTGTGTGTGTGTGTGTCTGTGTGTGTGTGCCTCCTTGTCATAAAAATGTCTGAGCATAATGCAAGTGATGCCGCACGGCTTTACTAAAATACCATTAAATATGGCAATCGAGCAGGCTAATTTGGCGTGGACCTAATGATGAGCATCGAAACGATGAAAGGCGGAGCGCAGACCGCAAATTGCAAGGGCGTGTCAATTGAAAACCAACAAAGAAACGGATATCTATATATAAAGCAAGAGAGAATGAGTGAGTGAGAGAGTGAGAGAGAGTGAGAGACTGAGAGAAAGGGACTATGGCAAACGTTTATTTAGGCATTTGCACATGACGAAAATCATTGTCGCCCATTTTGTTGTTGCTGTTTGAGCTCCTGTAGCGGAAATTGATAAAGAAATGTTATTGTGGTGAACAAGAAAACACAAGACACACACACACACACACACAATACACACACACATCCACAAACATATTGCTCGTTCTCTTGCCTTGTTTTTTTTTTTGGGCGAATATCTCGCAGAGTGCCGCTTGCGGTCAATTTTTGCCTGATATGTCAATTTAATATGATTTATGCGATTTATTGTTACTGACGCTCTCTCTCTCTCTCTCGCTCTCTCTTTGTGTTTTTGTCTCTTGTGTTACATTGGTGCATGTGTTTGTCGTTGTTGTTGTTTTGTTTTCCTTGTGGCAATCGTTTTTCATTTAGCCTGTTAACATCGTGTTCATCACAATAAGTGCTATGCATCTACCAATCTCATTCCATTGCTCTCTCTCTCTCTCTCTCTCTCTCTCTCTCTCTCTCTCTCTGTCCCTTTCACCCTGTTTACACTCACTTTATATGTTAGATATTTATATTCAATTGCTCCTCTTTCTCTTAGCTGTCTATGTGAGTGATGACCCGAGGCTTTCGCTGCCTGTCCGCCTGCATATCTGTTGATTGAGCACACTGGGCTTGGCACAGTGGGCTACTTTTATGTTATATGGATTTTAATTGATTTGCCTTTTAGCCAATACTAGTTTCACTCCCCTTCTCTTTGAATTGCATTACTGGATTCCATTTTAAAGGCGGCACGGTGTTTGAACCACAGCGTGAACTTAATTTAATAACATCATTTGCAGGTAAATGACGCAATAATTGCATAATTATGCAATAATTACGGCTGCAATGCCTGTGGACAGCAAGCGTTCATGCGATTACCAAGGCGAGGCCACAAGGACAAGCCAACCAACCAACCAATAATGCTTATTGCCTTGCTGCGCACCGGCTAGCCTCTGCCACCGCTGCCCCCTCTCTTTCTCTCTCTCTCTCTCTCTCTCTCTCTCTGTCTTCAGTTGCGGCCATTTATGCAATGCATTCCCGGTGCTATGGCCATTTGTTGGTAGCCTTGGCTCTGTCTGTGTGCGTTATGACTGCCTGATCCGCTTGGCTCATTGACGTTTTGCTTAGGTTCGCGGACATCATTTATCAATGCGACTGGCCGGGTCTATAGTCAGTTTCAGTTATGAGCAAAGGCATAAATTAGGCAGCAAAGTTTAATGTGGCAAGTGGGGCATAATCGCAGCTTTGGGTAGCTTCGATTGCTTTGGTCCACTGCGTCGAGCTAATTTTAGAATCAAAAACGAAATCTGTGGCCAGCTGGGAGTTGTCATTTGATTGGATTAAATGCCGCGCATAAATAAACATAATCAGGCATGTTGTGTTGCTTGCGATAAAAGCCAGATCGTCTACTCCCCACACGTGCTGCCCTGGCTGGCTTGGGTGAAAGGTACGAATGAATGGCGTGTAAAAAGCTAAAACCAAGTTACAGCCAACAACTTTGTTGTCTTTGAATTGCAAATCATGTCGCCACTTAGTCGCTGCCAACATACCAAAAATGTCTTTATTTATGCGTGCATGTTGCCCCTTAAATTTGTTCGCTTCTTTTCGTGTTTTTCTTTCTTTTTTTTTTTACGAGTGTGCTCACCAGCTTTTGACCTGTGTGTGTTTGTGTGTGCGTGTGTGTGTGAGAGTCGGTATGTTATATGTATGCTGGGGCACTCTGGCTGGCACTTGTACATCGTAAATATTCAAGCGGAATTCAAATGCACTTACAAGCGAGCGCACTTTTCGGCACTTTTCGGTGTTGGTTCTCGGTCTGGGTCTGGCTCTGGCTCTGACTCTAACTGTGGCTCTGTGGATCTCACTAAGTGCTAACAAGTGTCTTATTGATCCACGGCCAAAACAAGCCCCAAATCAATTTATTTACTAGTCCTTTGTGTGTGTGCATGGGTGTCTGAGTGTGTGTGTCTTTGTGTGTGTAATGATTGTCTTGCATTCAGCTGGAATTCCATTTCGCATTTGAGCAACCACAATTTTTTTTTTGTTTTTTTTTTTTTCTGTTTTGGCAAACGCCACTGCGAGGGCGAGTCAAGAACTTGACCATTGAACTCGGCGAGGGCGCAATGGCGTTAACAAAAAGTCAGCTACAAATCTCGGCCAACAAATACTCGGTACCACTCGAGCTTGAGCTGAGGGTAAGAGGCAAAGGCCATGTGCTGAGTGGCAGATGTCACTAGCGGCAGCCTTCTGACAAGTATACAAAAAGGAAGTCTTGTATTGGTGTATGTGTGTGTGTGTGTGTGTGTATGTGTTATGTGTGTGAGTATTAGTGAAATTGCTCCCAGCAGGAAATTTGAGTGTGGCATAAGGCACATTGTTTCGATTTATAAGGCATAGAAAATACATTTTTTATGCTTTTGATTTAAATACATAAATGAAAACAGCTGAAAATAAGAAAAATACACCCTCCCGGGGTGTGCAAGTTAAGGCCTTTGTTAGTACAAAATTATGGTATTAAGTTTACAAAGGTATTAAAAATCATTACATTAAGATCGCAGTTCTTGGGAACTTTTGAGCTTAATTTTGCTTTTATGTGCGACTTCAACTTTTAATCTATGTAAATATTCAACTTCAATTTGACTTAATACAAAAAGCTTCTTAATCGCTAACGTTTTTAGTTTCGTATTGTAATCGCTTCCAAAAGAGATGCTTCTTGCATGCATTCTGTGAACACGCCATAGCCAAAGAACAGCCATTTAAAAATCATGAATATGCTTTTTTAATGCTAATTTGCATTCAGCTCATAGGGAAAACTTTAACCTCGAAGAAATGTTTGTACGCACATGCGAAAGTTTCCACCCGGGTTGGCTTTTGTTTTTGCAAGTTTTCGGTTGTTGACTGACTGACTGGGTGACTGGGCGACTGTCAACGCGGTCTGCTACGGGATGCTGGCTAAAGGCCTGACAGTAACAACACGCGCTATTTATAAACATTATGACACAAACGAATTGTCATACAATTTGTCAACAGCAAACACAAGTGGGCCAACCAGCGTCAGAGACTTCTTTTTTTTATTTTTTTTTTTGTTTGGCGGGAGGTACTTTTTTTATTCTTCTTTGTTTTCTCATTTTTTGTTTTTGTTGTTTGGAATGAATTCAGCTGGCTTTTGCTTTATTATACCCTAAGCGCTTGAAGGCTTAATCTTTGACTTGATGTTCCTAATCCGTATGCCTAACAAGTGTGTTTCTCATAAATAAATGCTACGAACTTTCCATTTCTTAATACATAATTAAGTTAAGAGCTTCTACGAAGTTATTTAAAAATGAATTGGATTAACCATTGAGTTTGAGTTCTTAATATACGAAACAACTTTTTAAAGGGTATGCTCGAGCATATTACTTTTGATAGTAGTGTTTGCTATTTGTTTTGCATTGTCATAGTATGTTGTCAATGTCTTTAACCTTACTCAGTTCGCATTTTTGTCATTGTCTTTTCCCTTATTGTTCGTTGTGTATCTTACTTACGGACCAAAGTGCTTTGACAATTTGTAGCATATTCACTTATCGGCCTATGCGACTTGTGGGTCTTGGGATTTGCCTTTGTCGATTTGATGGAGTTGTATGCATAAACATGTCGCGGGGCGCCAGTTGCGCTGACAAGCGACAATGAGGCTTCAAATTTGTAACAAGTTTCTGTTGCCCTGGCAACATCCTGTATCGTCCTTTGAAGCCCTTTCGGGGCGGATGTTGTCTTGAATGTCATTTGGTTGTCATCAAACTAAATAGCACATGAAATTCGCCATGTGTCTCAAATGTGCACATGGGACTGGAACTGGAGCGGGTAGCTCTGGATCTAATCGTAGTCATGGCAGTAACCAAGATTGATGGCCTTAATGTTTGGATTGAATGGAAAATAGCCAACTACAACTATTCAGCTAGTTGTATAATTAGCTGAAGTGCTTTATATAGAATCATGCAATTCATGTCAACTATAAGCCCAGGCAAACTACATATATATTGAAAACTAATCTGATGATAGAATATCTTGAATTATTTGTACGAGTTGCATTAAAGCCATTCGGATTTTGTTCGGCTCCTTTTAGCTATCAATCACTTACAGCTTGTGCGACATTTAAATATTTTCTCAATTTCTCACTGATTCGATGCCTCTGTGTCTGCGCACATGCCAATTAAATTTGAATCAAATTATGCTGCTGCTGCCGCTGCTGCTGCTGCTGCTGCTGCTGCTGCTGCTGCTGCTTGCCTCCCTTCCACACCACTCATTTCCAATCAATCGGACATTGCCCGAAGCTGCGTGCGGAGCGTTTGTCAGTTTTGACAATTAATTGAATTTTGTTGTCGAAACTGCAAACATTTGATAACAAATTAGTTTACTAATTTCAATCTTAAAAAACAATTAGGCTGCTCGGGCGATAAGGCGAGTGGACAAGAGGCGACAACTTGCGACTGGAGTTGGAGTTGGGGAGTTCGGGAGTTGGCGGAGGCTGTTCTGGCATGGCAAGGACAAATATATAGATTATTTGGTCTGGCTGTCTTTACATACTTGCTGCTTGCTTGCATATTTCGTGTTCATTTTTTTTTTTCATTTTGTTGTTGTCTGTTTGTATTTATTTTTGCAAAACGTAATTCAAATTTATTTAAGAACGAAGCGACTCAAGCCAGAACCAGAACAACAGCCTGTTGTCCTTGCCGTCTTCATGCCGTGCTGGTCTGTTTAGTCTCATTTGGTCCTCTTAATGAAGAATAAAATTGTGTGCGGGCGACAGTCTGTTTTTTTTTTTCTTTTTTTGTTTGGGTACTCGACGCATTTGTGATATTAAATTGAATGTTGAAATAACAATTTTCATGTTGTCGCTTTGTGCTAATTAAATGTAGTCGTTTCAGAGTGTCTTTTGTCTTTTGGGGGAAACTCACCTTAGATCGATGTACTGATAAACAGAGGTGATGCCCAGGTTAAAATAAACGGGCACAAACAGAAAGCAAACAATTGGATAGGCACTCATCATGCCATAAATTATCTCCCACATGGCTGAGCCGCGATAATAAAGTTCACTTGAATACCCTGCAGAATACACAGAAACACACGTTATACACACATCAATACACACACACACACACATACACAAATAGGCATTAACTTACCCAGAACTGATCGGACACCAAGTATGCCACGTGCTATGGATATCATGACGGCAATTAGGGATACACTGCCGGTGGCAAACACATAATCCGCCTTGCTGCGTTGCTTGGTCTTGCCAAAAATGCGCTTCCAAAGTGGTCCCAAGACGGTGAGCGCTATAAATGCTGTAAACATGAAATAATCCCAGCCCAGTGTTCTCAAATCCTTGGCCATGTTGCTCTGCTGTAAAGATACCAAAACCAGAATGCAAAAATCAAATACCAAGTTGGTCAAAACAACTTTGCAGCGGCAAACCGCTGCAGGAGTTAAAATGGCAGAGGGTGTTGGTGAGGGGGTGTTGTTGTTGTCAAAACGTTTTCTAGCATAGTTGAACATGTGCATATTAGTCACGCTTGGTACACATACTGCCAAAACCGTCGACGATGAAACTTTGGCTACACATTGTTGCATATCCACAGGCTCGTGGGCAGCAACTGCGGTTATTCGACGAACCCCAACACCCCCTCAACAACCACTCGTCATAACCCAACGTGCAACAAGCCAACCAAAGAGTTCCACAGATAGAGTTAGAGAGAATAAAGAAGTGACCGGGACAGTGAGAGGCAGTGGGTGCGGAAGCGGGTATAAACTGTGTGTTGGCGCCATAGCAAATGAGTTAAAACAAAGCAAAATGTTGCGAGCTACAAAATTTATGGACTGTGTCCTTTGCTCGTACTGTTGACATTTGTATTCACGCCAGGCAGACATTTTAGACCCACACCTATACGTGTGTGTGTGCATGTGTGTCCTTTGTGTGTGTGTGAGTGTGTGTTGACTACGACAAGTTTGTTGTGGCCCACAAAGCGCGAAGCTTATGTGCGATTTGCATTGCAACTTTGTGTTTTTACTTGCACTTGAAGTGAAGGCAAAGCCAACTGTTGATCCGGCTGTGCACAGCAATCATTAAATGTATTAAATTCAAGTCTCCTTCAATTCTCTAGAAATGTTAATAAGCATTTAAATTTTCGGTACAAAATATTTATAAATATTTTCTAGATATACGAGAAAGAATTTGTTCAAATTAAAATTTTCCATTTTTCAGAAATATCTTTCCCATTTTCAAATTTAAATTTTCACTTGTCACATTGTCCATAACTGAAAGCTATTGATTTTGGCTCAAATGACACCATCGTTAAATAAGATTTGCCAAAATAAAGCATTTATCCAAATTACTCATACGTCCCATTGAACTGGCAACGGTATAAATTTTATTTATTGCCGATACATTCGATCATCGTCATTATCAGCATCGTTAAGCATATTGATGTTTAATTAATTGTTAACAATATATATATGTATGTGTGTGTGTGTATGTGTGTGAGTAAGCAAGTGAGTTTGTTTGAGCTATTTGCCATCCTTCAAGCTTTTGTCTGACACTTTGTCTGGCTTTTGTTTTGCCATTCTGTTCAAACTATTAGTCATGGTTTTTCAGGTTTGCTTTGGTAATTTTTATTGTTGTTTTGTTAAAGATTTAGCCACATTTAAACTGCATCGTTGCCGAGAGCTGACAGCTGTCCACCTTTGGACTGTCCAGTCAGACAGTCAGCTTTCTCCTGGCCACGTGATAAGCAAAAGCCAAAAAATGAGCAAGGACACAGTGCCAAAGGTCGTCGCATTGTCTGTGTGAACTTGTGCGCAAAATGTTATTTTCTGCTTGCCGACCTTTAGGAAATTATCCGTGTTGCCAGCGCTTTGTTAGCTGCTAGCACTTAAGTCCGCTTAGCCAAAGCCCTGGGGTGGCAGATTAGCTTGCTGGGTGGGGGTGCAGCTGGCTTAGGCGCACATACGCTGTGTCACCATCCACCCCACTATTCCAATTGACAGCAAACGACAATTTGAGCACATTTTCATCAAGTATGTAAAATGCTGCCAAAAACTAAACCACACGTATGCATAAGCAAGCAGAAATCCCCATCTTAGATGAGGTGGCGTTTGACATTTCAAAGTTTTCCATGGCATATAGTAAAAGTGGAGCGCAAGCAGACCATGGATGGATGGATGGATGGATGCTTTGGCGCTCATATCATTGACGCTCGCCATGCCCATTTAAACAATCTTCCTTCTCCTCAAAAGAAGATAAAAAAAACACACTTGCAGTTAATATTCATGCAGTTTTGGCACGCTGCTTGAAAAATTATACGAAACTTGGCGACATGTGTGCGATGCGTTGACGAAGGAGTCGTCGATGCCAAGGATCATAAATTATAAAGCAGCTTGGAGCAGCAGCTTCGAGAGAGCTAACAGCGACGGCAAAAACAACTTCAAATAATCGTTGAGATGTTGTGATTCTTGGCGGCCCATTGTGTGTGTGTGTGTGTGTGTGTGTGTGTGTGCCTGAAGTTGACAGCCACAATAGCAAGTTATTAAAATAAACGGAAGCCTGTGTAAACGAAAGAACTTCTCAGAGGGAAAGAGGGAGACTAAGTGGAAGTGGAGAAAACAAAAGAATGAAGAAGAAAAAATATGCCACTCATGAAATATTCAGCATGCATGACACAAGATCCTAAGTCTGCTGGATAATGCGCCAAAAACTCGAGTCCAATGAAAATATCAAAAACACATTTGCAAAGACGCCACATAATTTGGCATTGAAGAGCGTTAAGATACACCTCCCGTCTGCAGCTGTCAATTTTTACCTTTTATTTTCTTTTAGTATTTTATTATTTCGTTTTTCATTTCGTTTTCTGTTCTGGACATTTGCATTTTGCCGCTGCTTCTGTCCCGTACCACAGACAAAATGAAAATGTAATTTTGCCAAAGTGCAGCATTGCGTTGCATACTTTTACGCGCCACAGCCTCGCCCCGGCCACTGTCCACTGCCCATTGGCAACGTGTCGACGCTTGGCCAACGTCCAAACAGGCGAAAGGGCATCAGTTGAAGTTGCCACCTCACCTCACCTTGGCCTTAAAGTGACGCAAAACGTATGAAAAACTGTGGTATTCGTGCTTTTACCATTCACAACCACACACACACACACACGCCCAGCTAAAAGCAGAAGTTGCATGTTTAATGCATGATTTTGCATTTCTGTGTGAAAGGAGTGACTAGTTGGACAGTTGGTTGCAATTGCCAGAACCTTGATCAATTTTATTACCTTGCATAAGTAAACTGGGCAAGCAAGTGCTTAGTAATGTTTTTTTAAATTTAACTGGCAGAGGAAAATATCATAATATTATTTTATTTATTTCTAGTTTGTATACTTTATTATGCTTCTTATGTCAGCCTCAAAGATCGTCGGACGATCATTGCTAACTAAAGAAACTATCTCTGTGAAATTTTTAGAAGCTCAAAGTTAAAGCTATGATTGTTAAAAAATGTAGTTAAAAGAAGAAATATAAATAAATAACATATTTTGCAGACACTTAACTATGTTATTAATCCGAATGATCTATACTAGGTATCTTCACGTCTGCTAGACTTTGACATGTTGCAACTTAAAGTGGGTTATTATGGTAATTATCTTGTTAGCTTCACCTAGGGTGTGGCCAAGTCGATGGCAAATTGCGGTCTGGTCTTAGCAATTAAATGCACTAATGAAAGGATTATTTGTCAAGTCACTTAAGTTCTTAACTTATTTTGAATTTGGTTTGGTTTGAGATTTTCAATGCCAAACTAAATCAGAATTAAGAATTTTAACTGTGAGCCAAACTTCAAAGAAATTGGCCAATGAATGAGAATGAAAAAAGAAAAAAACATTAAAAATACAAAGTTGCGATGCAGCTGAAAAAATCAAGAAGCAAATGAAAGAAATGCTGAAATGAAAGAAGCTTAACCGACGACTATAAACGTCTTTGAGAAAAAAATGGTGCATTTGAATGGAACAATTGAGCTGCCAGAGTTAAATGCAAATTCCATAGATGTTTAAGTGCATACACTCCATATAATCAAGTTAGCTAACGGTCCTTGAAAACATTATGGGAAGCATAAAGTAAATTTATGAGGCATTTGCGTGGTGCGTGGCACCACTGGCAGCTACCCCTATTTCATAGTCATTTGGTAACAACAAAGTTGCCTGCAATATATGCATTTCATTATCATGCATAAAACTTTGAACGCTCGTTGCATTTGCAAGTGCTTTCGGCTAATTAAAGTACCCCGGCAAATTGGAGGTTGGGTTCTTGGCTCTTGTCTCCGCAACAACTTTCAGATTGCACCAGAATTGGCCAATCAAAAATGCATGGAAATGTGGCAAAAGTTTCTCCTGATGGGTTTCAGCTTACAGCGAAGATAAACCGGAATGGGGTTGATAACTTTTGGAGCATCAAGTGGTATTAGTTGTCTTCAGAACTCTCGCACCTCTTCAACTTAATGTGCAACACAATCGCGTTTGTCAGCTCGCCTCGCTAACTGTCGCCTTTCATTTAGGGTTTGCTGATGCCACGCCCCCTTGTACGCCTTGTGGAACTGCGTGCAAAGTGCAGTTAAGTCAAGTGGCTGCAACAAACTTCTGTTTCGGTTGCTGTTTTTCGTTTTGATTTGTTTGTTTTTTTTTTTGTGTGGTTTAGTTGTATTTGTGCTGCTGCTGTTGCAACGAACTTTCATCAGCGGGTCTGTGTTCTTCATTTTTGCAGCACGGCTGCTCAAAGTTGTTAAATACAAAACTTTGCCACTTAATACCAGTTCGAGTAATGAAATACGAGTGAAGCAGTCGTCTACCCGACTACCCATCAACCCGACTCTGTCTGTCAGCAAATTGAAGTTAAAGTATGCGGTGCACAAAGTTCTGCCAACATGCAACTGTTTCAATGTTGTTCAATGTTTTTCAACAACTGCTTATTCTTATTCTTCTTTACCCAGCAATACCCCCCCTCCGTGCCCCTATTGCATTGGGCAATTGTTTGTTCAGTTCTGTTCTGCTCGGTTGCGTTGTATTTTCTTTTAACTGCTCAACACTTTATACATGTTGCCCTTTAAATGCGTCCAGCCCTGTGCAAAATTGTATTCGATTTCTTTTTTTTTGACCACGTTCGGTCGACTGTCTAATGAGAAAAGTCATTGGTGGGCGTTGTTGCTGCTGCTCGCTTGTCTTACCACAAACTCAAATGTGGCTTTCGGCTAGCCCACACCGTCAAAGTCATTTATCAAAGCGCAAAAGAATAAATACGGGCTGCAGTTGTTGTTTATTTATCGTACTTCTTCGTAGTTCTTGCGGCTATTTCTATATTTTTTTTATTTCTGTTGC